CATGATTAGGAAGGACATCGATGCGGCCCTCACGCATGACCACTCTCGCGACTTCACCATCACGCACACTACCGCGCAGAATCAGCACCGCCAGACGGTTCAGCACCTCGCGCTCGATGATGCGTCCTAGCGGACGAGCACCATAAGCAGGGGAGTAACCTGCTTCGCCGAGGTAATCCTTGACTTCGTCGGAGCATTGGATAATGACGTTGCGGTCGTTGTTCTCCAGACGGCGCTGCACCTCTTCCAGACGGAGGTCGACGATCTTGCGGATCTCGCGCTTGGTGAGACGATTGAAGATGACGGTGCTGGAAATGCGGTTGAGGAATTCAGGGAGGAAGTAGTCGCGCAGGGCGCCCATGACCAGCTCGCGGGTTTGAGGGTCAATGCGGCCGTCCTTGGTGGTTGGGCGGGAGAGGAATTCGGCACCCAGGTTGGAGGTCATGACGACGATGCAGTTCTTGGCGTCGACGATTCTGCCTTGGCCGTCGGTGATGCGGCCGTCGTCCATGAGTTGGAGGAGGACAGTTAGGACTTCCTTGGCGGCCTTTTCGACTTCGTCGAAGAGGAGGATCGAGAAGGGTCGGCGGCGCAGGCTCTCGGTTAGTTGGCCGCCGGCATCGTGGCCGACGTAGCCTGGGGGTGCGCCGATCATGCGGCTCAGGGAGTGACGTTCTTGGTATTCGGACATATCGAAGCGGATCATGGCCTTGGGATCGTCGAAGAGGAATTCGGCCAGGGCCTTGGTCAGCAAGGTCTTACCGGTTCCCGAGGGACCGCAGAACAGGAAGCTAGGGGGTGAGTTGGGGTTGCTGAGACCAGACCGCTGGAGTCGGATGGCGTTGGAGACTGAGGTTACCGCTTCCTTTTGGCCAACGACGACCTTGCCCAGGTATCTCTCCATGTTCAGCAGCTTGTCCTTTTCGGTGGTCTTGAGCCGGGTCACGGGGATACCGGTCCAACGGGCGACGATTTCGTTGATTTGGTCGGGACCGACTGCGTCCGCGAGCAGAGCTTCGCCAGCATCGCCCTGGCGTGCCCGCCGCTCTTCATCGGCCTTAGCACGGTCGATCTCAAGTCGCTCAATGAGAGCCTTGGTTTCGGGGATGGCGTAGTACTCGAGATCGGCAGCCGTCTGGGTGTCACCAGAGCGTTCCGCTTCATCACGCTTGACCTTGAGGGAGTCGAGCTTGATCTTGGCGTCCTGGATGGACTTGCTGCGCTGCTTCTCGCTCTCGTACTTCTCGCGCATAGGACGCAGCTCTTCGGTAACGTTGGCTGCTTCTTGCTTGGCGGCCTCCAGACGGGCTTTGGAAGCATCGTCCTTCTCGCGCTCGAGAGCGTGGATTTCGATCTGCAACTGACGCAGCTTTCTCTCCAGGTTGTCTAGCGCTTCGGGTTCGGATTCGCGGGTCACCCGCACGGCAGCAGCGGCTTCATCGATCAGATCAACTGCCGAGTCGGGGAGTCGGCGTGCGGTCAGGTAGCGCGCAGCCAGCGTGGCAGCGGACACGATAGCACCGTCAAGGATATTAACACCGTGATGCACTTCATACTTCTCCTTGAGACCACGCAGGATGGAGATGGTCTCCGGAACGGAAGGCTCCTTGACGAGGACTTGCTGGAAACGACGCTCGAAAGCCTGGTCCTTTTCGATGTATTTGCGGTATTCGCCCAATGTGGTCGCACCGATGCAGTGCAATTGACCACGAGCCAGCATGGGCTTCAGCAGGTTGGCAGCATCCATGCCACCTTCGCCGCTGGAGCCTGCGCCCATGAGCAAATGAATTTCATCGACAAAGAGAACAATGGTGTCTTTTGATTCTTCAATCTCCTTCAGAACGCCCTTCATCCGCTCTTCGAATTCTCCGCGATACTTGCTGCCTGCAACAAGCGAGCCGACATCGAGAGACAGCAGCCGGCATTGAGCCAGGTTGGCCGGAATATCTGCGTTCACGATACGACGAGCCAGGCCTTCGACAATGGTGGTCTTTCCCACACCGGGTTCACCGATGAGTACTGGGTTGTTCTTGGTCCGTCGACTCAGGATGCGAATCACCCGACGGATTTCCTCTTCACGGCCAATGACAGGGTCAATCTTTCCCTCTCTGGCCAGAGCAGTCATGTCGATGGTGAATTTCTTCAGGTTCTCATTTTCGCTTTCGGCATCGGCAGTCTTGGAGTCGACCCGTTTTGTACCACGGATCTGCTGGACAGCACTGTCGATCAACTTGACGTTGGGAATGTTGGCATCGGCCAAAGCGCGCTGAACCTGTGAGTCCTGCGCGGCAGAGAGGATGAGGTGGTCGATGGCGACATAGCTATCCTTTTGCGTCTTGGAAAGTTCGGATGCCGACCGGATGACCTTGGCAAGTGCAGGAGAGACACTGACGGTCTCTGGCGGAGGATCCTGCGAAGGGAGACGAACCAGCATTTTCATGAGGGATCGTTCCAGGAGTTGTGGATCGCCATGGGCGCGTTCGACGACCTGGCGGAAGAGAGGGGCGGAGGAGGTTTCGTGGGAAGGATGAGCGGGGGCTTGCTGGTCTTTGGATTCATCGGGAGAAGGGTTGAGGAGAGAGACGGCGAGATGAACAGGGAGGATCTGTGAGTGAGAGTATTGCTCTGCCAGGCTGCTGGAGTCCAGCAAGGCCTTGTTGGCTCTGTCTGTAAATTGGGCGCCGTTCATATTGGGCGGAATGTGAGGGAAGAATGTGGGATGGAATCAAGCTAATCAGTGATTATGGTAGGTGAGGTGTATGTAAAGGTGAGAAGATTGAGGAAATGTTCAGAGATTATGTACAAGCAATGTTCCGTATGAACGAGAGAAATTAGTCTGCTGATTGAGTCTGGTGAGAGAGAAAGAGGGCGAGACGAAGATGATGCCGACTTGCATAATATAGAGCGTGACTTCAGATGCCCGATTGGGTTCATGACGACACTGGCAGCTTCCACCGCCTTCCAGAAGCACCGCCAATCCGCTAGAAGTCACGTGTTGAGGCCTGACCCTGCTGGCTTATTCTGGCCTGATGGATCAGGCCAAAAGTGGGGGAATTATATCCAGTCATGTGACCTGACACTGGCCAGTTGCCGTTTTCGGAGCCGAGATCGCCCAGATTCGAAAAGAATCTTGAAGTCAAATTCCAATTCCAATTCAAATGATATTATTGTGTCTCTCTCTCTCATCAAGGTCTCGCTCAACTTGAAACGGCCAACTTGTTGTCGTATCCACTATCGCCACCTCTTTTTCTACGATGACTATGTCCCGGGCCATCTCATTAGAGTCTTGCCCTGACATTTCCAGGAATCTGTCCGGCGCTAACGGCGCCAGATTCACTCCTGGCGTGCTAGGATCGCCTCCAGCAACAGAGAGGAGCCCCCCACGTTGGCGTCGCCCGGGCTTGATTGGCATGCAATCCTTCTGGTCTGGCCGGGATTAAAGTTCCTGGTCTTGTTGGTGGTGGTAGTGGTAGTGGTTCTAAGTAGTGGTGGTCCATGACAACTTCAATGCTTGAGGACTTTTCTGCTGATACTTTCTCAGGACCCGGGAAGGGCGGGGAGTTAAACAGCCCTTGTTCTCCTGACACGAGATCGTGAACATTTCCTCCCCTGCCCTGCAACCAACAAATTCAATTTCTCCCCCTGATAGATGATGATTCGAAGACATCTATCCCGATTAATTCTCTTCCGTGGTGAATATGATTCCCCCGCCTCACAACCCCTCCACGCGATCAGCGCATCGATATGGCCTCATCAGGTCATTCCAGGCCCGAGCGTGACGTCAAGCAGTGGGAACCCCCCTCTTAATCCTCCCTGGGATGCTCAAGCTTGGATGAGCCAAACTATTTCCCCTCTGCTATCGCCCGGGATCTCGTCCTCCGTGTGAATGTATGACACCCTCAAGGCTACGGACCCAGTTCCGACCATGAAATGCAGGCTGAGAAGAGATCTGAGTCCAAGGGGAATAAGCTGTAGATCGTAATTCGCAGTGGTTGCAGGGATCTGTTCGCCCTTTTCCGGAGTCTTTCTGCCGGCCGCCAAAACTACTTTCTCCCTTTCCAACGTCATGACTATGACTTGAAGGATTTGATAAAGGTCTTATCCACCGCCACCAACAATGGCCTTTTGCAGCAGCGATATCGCAACACTGGCACATGAACTATCTTGCACCATCTGCAGACTACCAGGCACCGTTCAACTTCTATTCCTTATGCGGCATTAATTCCAAAGAGTCCAGGCATCAACAGTGGAGAGCAAGAGGGGCTCCCATTACGTTTAACCCCTCGACTAGCCCAGCACCGTTGTCTGGTAGACAGTAGTGGTGTGGATATCGCACTCGTACTACTTGGGACCCTCGACGCTCGTAGGACTGACTGACTGGCTTATCCGGTCCATCCACGGGTCAACCTTCCCTGTTTTGTTTTGCCTGGCATTGCATTGGTCCTGGAGTTTGCAGCGAACGACCGTCCGTCTGCTTGTTGGAACTGCGCTTCTGATTCGTGATACCTGCCCTTTTTTTTTCCTTCCCGCGTGGAGGAGGGCAGCCCGTATTTCCATTCATTCCCCTCCGTTGCCTTCAGCCTGGTCGACATTCCTATTCCGTCTTGAGAGTATAAAAAGCCCCTCTCCTCCATCACCGGCTGCTCTTCTACTCGCCGTGGTGTTTTTCTTTTTTTGTTTTCTTGTGCTTGTATCTTCTGCTCGCCCAAAATCTACGGGGGATTTGCAACAACTGCCTGACTGGGCATTTGTTCTTGCAGATTATTGCATCGGAACAGCAATACCTAAAAAGCAACAGCTGCTTCATCTTCTCTTTGGACGGGGACTTTAGTGTTTCCCAGAACAGTCCTCTACACCGGCGGTGAAATTCCCTGGTAGAAAGTAGTGTGCACTGTTGATCTTTTAAAATATCGACTCGGATCTGAATCGGAAACGGTTCATTTCTGCTCTTTTCCCTCTGGTGAACCAGCCAGTTATCCAGCCCTGGTTGCTCATTCATCATTCATTACATCGAATCAAGATGTCTCAAAAACCCATCTTCGTGGCTACCCATCCACGCGCCTGCTCTACGGCATTTGAACGAGTACGCGTGATCCTCGCATTCCATAGTGCCGAAAAAATCAAGAAATTCAAAAAATGAAGCACTCAACACAAGAAGACAAGAACCTGCTGACACCTCCAACAGGTCTTCATGACCCGCCGGGATACCATCCAGTGTATCCATGAGCCGTTTGGTGATGCCTTCTACTACGGGCCTGAACGCCTGTCGGCCAGATTCGCCGACGACGAACAGGCTCGTCTGGAGAGCGGCTTCAGCCAGTCGACGTTCCAGACCGTCCTGGCCAGAATCGAGCGCGAAGCTTCTGAGGTCCGACCCTTCTTCTTGGTCGCGTTTCTTTCTTTCTGCGTTCTACACTCTTTCATCCCTCCCTGTCTGTCGTTATGCGCCCGGCCGAGGTGTAAATCCCGGCTGGATGGTCCTTGCCCTGCATCGTAGAGGCCAGTTGCCAATCTTTTCCCTCCCCCTCCCCCCTTGATGGGCCTGGGACCTGCGGCATCTGCATGCCTACGCAGGTCCCTCTTCTATAATGATGCGCCTCTCCTACAAGCCCATGATCGCACGAGGTAGTCACCTCACAGTCATCGTCAAGATGGTGTCGGATCTCACCAGCCCCAATCGAGCCTTCACACTCTACTTCCCTACATGATTCTTACTCTACTCGGTCGCTACGAGATACTTACCACCAGCAGGGCAAGCGCATTTTCATGAAGGACATCATGCACTACCTCCTCCCCCCATACGGCAAACCCGCCAGCATCGCGCCATCTCTGAACAGAATCAAGCGTGGCGTGGGCACCGAGTCTAACGGAGAGACTGCTCCCCTTTCGGCCGTTGGCGCCAACGGCACCAACGGCCACCATGCCCAGCAGCTGAATGGCACAAGCCCAGCCCAGAACGGGACCAAGAATGGGCTGAATGGCCACGCTGTGCTGGACCACTCCACGCCGGTGAAACCGGCCACCACCCGGGAGCCGTACCCGTACGACACGGCAGCCGAGCCTGGCAATCCCACCGTGATGCCCACGGAGATCCTCTCCCAATTCCATTTTGCCTTCCTCATCCGCGATCCCCACCACAGTGTCCCTTCCTACTTCCGCTGCACCATCCCGCCCCTCGACCAGGTGACGGGCTTCCACAACTATGATCCCTCCGAGTCCGGGTACGACGAGTTGCGTCGCACCTTCGACTACCTGCGTAGCGTGCGTCTGGTAGGCCCCCACATTGCCACGCAGGAGCGTGACGCCGACGACATCGACAACAAACTCCGACCGGTGACGAACGGCCTCAACGGGTATGAATCCGGAGCGGAGATCTGTGTCGTCGACGCCGACGACATGTTGCAGAAGCCGGCGGCCATGATCGAGGCATTCTGTCGTAGCGTGGGCATCGAATATACCCCCGACATGCTGTGCTGGGACACCGAGGAAGACCACCAGGTCGCTCGGGATAAGTTCGAGAAGTGGCGCGGCTTTCACAACGATGCGATCGAGTCGAAGGGCCTGGTTGCTAGAAAGCATGTAAGTTATCAGTAGACCCTACACAGCTTCACGTGTCCCCCTGTCTACATCCTATGCAAGTAGTAGTTAGTCACTAACACCACCCAACAGCCCCATGCCGTCAAGACAGAAGAAGAATGGGACGCCGAATGGCGCAAGAAATACGGCCCAGAGGCAGCAGACCTCATCCGACAGACCGTCGACGCCAACATGGCCGATTACTTGTATCTGAAGCAATTTGCCATGCGCGTGTAGGTCGAGTCAGGTCAGGATAGAACAGATTGTCCTTACGGGCCACCATCGGGAGGAAAGAAGAAGAAGAAAGAGAGACCACCGGACGAAGAACCGGGGGACCGGATCGATTTTTATAAGAAGAGGAGGAAGAATGATATGAAAAGAGGGGTTAATCCACTCTTTTAACTTCGGAATGGTATGCTGGGTGACGAATGCTCAGGCATGATGAATTCTTAGCTTTGATGACGCCATTTGATGTGATGATGATCTGTGCATGTTGATTTATTTTTTGACTGATTTGTTTGTGATTTTTTTCATGAGCCATGCATGCATGCAAGTATGTCAAGAAAGGAAGGGTGGGAGATTGAATTTAATTCTGGTGGAATATGATTGATTCGCTATATTGGTGTGCTGTTATTGGAGTGTAGATGTAGATGGTGTTGGTGTTGGGTTTGGGCTATCCGAACTGCTACATAATGGAGGAGCAGTAGTAGCGGTCTGACTCGTTGGTTTCACCCAACATACTTGCTGTGTGCAATAGGACAGATCATACAGTGAGGAGATGGCTGTTCGATACAAGAATCATGCCTGGAAACGAAGTAATTTATTTGTCTTTTCATTTGTGACCTACTGGATAAGTATAGACACTCTCGAGGGTCATACTTTTGCCTGTTACTTCTCAGCCCGGTCAATGAGGTTCCATTACTACAATACTACCTACTACTAACTAATATCCAGAGAATTATTTGAGGATAGTTACTACGCTACTACTTAGATTAGATATTGACCTGATTTTAGCCGCCTATAATAGTACTGGTATTATGTATCTTACTTGGTATTCTAGTAGTATCTTTACTCTTCCGACTTCTACTTGCCAGGCTGCCAGGTTTTACTACACCCCTGCTTCCCTTTAGTGCTAGTCCACTACATTCTTAGTATTCCCACAGTTGATATATTTCCCCAACTTGTCATCCTTCTCGTAGCGATAATCCTTATACATACTATCTTATCGTATCATATTCTTTATCCCACCATATAATAGAATCATCCTCGTGATCATCATCATCATCCTTCCTCTTCGATACTAGCAACAACCTCATCATCCAACTATTCCCAAGCAAACAACATAACAAACCACACAAAGAAACAAGAAGAAAGCAATCAATCAATCAATCAATCTCTAATACCCCCTAAACAGCACTATATCCCCCTCTAGACCCCGTCCCTTGCAGCGTGTTGACCACCCGCCGTAACCAGTCCTGGAAGAGATAGGGAATATCGCGGATCGTGTCGCCGTGCGGGAGGAGATCCCACCCGCGGGCGCCGTAGCGGTTGTAGTTGAGCCAGGAGCCGAAGATGAGGTATGCTGCGATGCAGAGGAAGAGGCTGTTCAGATGAATCTCGTTAGTTCGATCCGGTCTTTAACAGGGATAGTTGTAAGAAAAGAGGGAGGGAGGGGGCAAATCGTACATAATAATCAACCAAGTAAAGAACCCCCAATGACTCGACCCATCACCATTACCACCATCGGGGTTCTTCTCACCCGGCTCATCCCTGTAATTGTCGCACGCGTAGCGCGTCCTCCAGTTCAGCTTCAGCACATAGGTATCGTCATCTGCGGGCCCGAAGCTCTTGAACTGCAAACTGCGTCCGCCCTCGGGGATAGTGCTGTTGTCATTATTCTCGTTGTCGCCGTTCGTCTCGTCCGCCCGTTGACTCAGCTGCCACAGCCGACGGCGCTCCTCCTCGGTGTCTTCGGTCGTCTGTAATCCCTCTAATCCCGACCGGTCGGGATCGCACTGGAACTCGATCACGGCGCCCGCGTTCTTCTTCTTCTGTTGTTCTTCGTCGAAGTATTCGCCTCCGGCGAGTTTGACGAGGAGACCTTCCTGTTCGGAATCGAGCTTCTTCAGGCGCGTGATTTCAGCGTCTTTGGTGCCGTGGCCGAGGTGGTCGAGGCCGACGATCGGGAAGACGGTGCTTTCTTCTTTGTGGCTGTCGAGAGCGGTTTTGTATTGGAAGCCGCAGACTGTGTTGGTAAGAGTTTTGTTAGTTGTGGACGCTAGGAACGATTTCAGGGGAGGGTGGTGGACGGGGCAAGCGTACTGTTCTTGGAGGTCGGGCATTTCAGGTGGCCGCGGTGGGCAGCGCCCTTGAGGATGTTGCAGATGTTGAGCACGTAGGTTGTATTGACGACGTAGTCTTCTGTCTCGTCAACGTGGTAGAGCGTGTGTACTCCGCCGAGAGTGCTGAGGTCATACTTGTAGCTGTCGACGATGATGTTGTGGCAGTCGAAGCCGCCGGACGCGGAGGCTAGGCTGGGGAGGAGGGCGGAGGAGAAGAGGAGGGTCGAGAGGCCGGTTGGTATTCGCATGGTGAAGGTGGGATTGTGTGTTGCTAATGGGGAGAGACTGGATTGGTTGGGGGAGGTGATGAAGCTGATAAACAGATAGGTGATGACCGGAGCTCAGCTCGACAGTTGATGGGGTATGAGTGGTAAGAGAACAATGAACCGGGAAGTTATCGCTAATTTTGAAGCCCCTTGTTTCCTGTTCTGGTCTATAGTTGTGTGCAGAGGAGCTAGGTGCCCCAAAGGAGATGACGATGAAGATGGAGATGGAGACGCAACGGTATGGATGGAGCTGTTCCCGACGCGGAGGTCGGCGTTGCGGTGGCCGGGAGTCTTGGTTTCTCCGAGGCGAAGCGGATCAATCACCGCTGGACCACCACGATTGAACATTCAACGTCTGCACCTGACTAGTAAAGCACAGGAAAGTTGGAATCGCCAAAGATGATCGTGGAGATGACGGCAAATAATCGAGATGGCTCGGCGATTGGAGTCATCTCTCGTGGCAGCGGCTGAACGTGATCGGCAATGCGGAGGGCACCTGACGGGGATGATGTCACACGACCAGATGGTGTTGGCGATATTCAATCGATGGGGATGGAAGTATCTCGGTTCTTGCTGCAAAGGGAATGCATCGCATAAGTATAGTGGTTAGTTGTACGGATATGGAATCCGGTTTTGATCTCAAATCAACATAGCAGCTATATCATATAGTGACAAAATGAAACCAAACCAAATGAAATCTATTGCCAGCCTCATACAGACATAGCCAAATAGAATCACCGTAAATAACATAGAAACCATAGCAAAATACACATATCACATCCTATGCACCCCAAGTAATCTCCTCCCCTCATCACCTATTGAACCATTACAGTACAATGCATAAACCCACCCACCACATCACCACCTCACACCCTCTTATCCTCAGGCACCAACAATGAACCCGCACAGACCAACCTCAAAAAGCCCACCAAACCTTTAAAGCCTTGCAGCCTTACAAACCTCAGGCACCCAAAGCCAGCTCCCCTCACAATCATCACATTAATTAAATCAATCAAATATCAATCCATCCCCATCCTAACAAACATCCCACCACAACCCCGCCAAGATGATGCAAACTCGCATGGTACGTATACCCCTTCCACCCCCTATACACAATTTGTCTATGAAATACTAAGAATTTTACCAGCTCACCAAAGAAGACGAAGCCCTCACGGGCAGCGAGGACAACGAAGTCCGCCGCGAGGACCAAGAAAAGATCAATCGCTTTAGTCGGCTGCACCAGCGCGAGACTCTGCTGGAGGATCAGTTGAAGTTGAAGATGGTATGTTCGTTCATTTTACTTTTTTCTTACATTCCTCAAGTAAAACAATAAATGGGGATATGGATATGGATATGCATTATGATTCTTACCCCCTTATACACATGAATTGAAAGAAAGAAAGAAAGAAAGAAAGAAAGAAAGAAAGAAAGAAAGAAAGAAAGATTGAATCTAACAACCCACCCCAGAAAGATAAAGAAGATTTAGAAGAAATCTCCACGGAACTGGAGTTGGCGGATGAGGATGAGCTGGTGCCGTAAGTTTTTCTTTTTCTTTTTCTTCCTTTTTCACTTTATCTCTGCGAGCCAGAGCTTGAAAAAGGAGGGGTTAGGTATGTGCTAATTCCAATGCAGATACAAAATCGGAGATGCGTTCTTCCAGCTCCCTCTTGAAGAGGCTCAGTCTCTGCTGTCGACGGCAACAGAGCAGGTCGATGCCGATGTGAGCAAGCTCGAGGAGGGATTGAGTGATCTGCGGGAAGAGTTGCAGCAGCTGAAGGTGGCTTTGTATGCGCGGTTTGGACGGAGCATTAACCTTGAGACTTAATTATATCGGATCTTAGCTTAGTATCTACTACTGTTGTTCGTGTAATAATGAGACAGAGTGATGATGATTGCATTAGCATTAGCATTAGCATTAGCATCCCCAATTGTAAACGCTAGTCCAATATGCACGATGCTATTGAAAATCAAATGTGATGGCTGAAAGGACAAGGAGAGAGGTGTAAGTCTAGGTTCGGCTATACACGCGTGTACTGTATACAAAAAGTCCAACATTATATCTACGTCGGTAAAACATCGCAGCTGATTCGTAATCCATGATCTCATCTCACATGCCTGTGGGGTTCTCCCACAATTGCCGGAACAGTAATACAAGTTTTGAGTAGGACAAGGGTCTTGTCCGGTCTGAGGGAAACGGGCCCCTCGCGTGCTCGCTCTCATGGCGCGGCCGGTGAGTCGCCTTCGTAGCGAGTCCGAACGTAAAGCTTCGGCCGTATTAAAAGTGAAGGTCTTGATTTTTTTTTTTTTTATGATGCTCATATCTGCCACATTGTGGAGTGGCATCATCGCGAGCGGTCTCATATAATACTCGCGATGGTCATGCGCGAATGAGACGAGCTCGACTGCGGAGTCGTCGCATCAGAGCTCGCAGTGGCTGATTCCGGCCCAAGATATGCCGATTCCGCGGGCTTGGTACGATGCTGAAGATCTTGTTGTTGCTGTTGCTGCTGCTGTCTCTCGTAGAGATATTGCACCGTCTGCTCTACCCACTTCCACCCCTCCCACCCTTCTGGCCCTGCGTTGGCCTCCGGATGGGAATATGCCACCGGGCTGCTGACTTTGGGCGACATCACTTCCAGCTGCGAGCCGGTCTCACTGCCCTGCCAGACCCAGTTACCTTCAGCGCTTCCTTGCATGTCGCCGGATACATAAATCATCAACTCTTCGTCACGCTCGAGCACGGCTAGTTCGTTGCGCCGTAGCCGGTCCAAGACCACTTTCAGGAAGAACGCAAGATAGCGTCCACAGGCCATATTCACGGCGCGCGAATCATCAATAGCAGTACACGCCTGGACACAGACGAGAGCAGGAGCGAAATCCTGGCGGAAGAGGAGTAGAAGTGCACAGCGCCAGAGGTGCACACACAGCATGGTTCCTGCCGAGGATGCCAGCAGTGGCCTCCAGTCGTCACCGTTCGTGGCCGTAAACCCACTTCCAGGGCTGGATGGTGGTCGCATACAGCGGGACAGTAAGCGAGCGGTATCTTGGGCGGCGGAAACACAATAGTCCAATGATGATGTTCGAGTTTCAGGAGGACAGAAAGGAGAGACATTATGACGGTGGAGGATCAGGCGAGCATTTTGGAGGTAGAGAATCGGGGCGAGGGTGCGGGGGTCGAGATACTGGTCGGCTGTAGGGTGATATTGAGGAGGGAAGGTTGCGAGGCAGGTGCTAAAGTGTCGTTCGAAAGTTTCAAGGGTTCCGAGACTCATTGTTGGACTCTTCAACGTTCGGGACAGCTGGCCGATCGATCGAACCACATGAATGGTGGCCAGTAATGGGGACGTTTGGGGGCTTTCCGGCACCACGCCGCCGTCTGAAAGATATTGCTCGTCGATGGGACACGGAAGGCCCACGTCGCAGTCTTGATCGTTGATGAGAACTGGTTTTCCCATCTCCAAAGCGAGTAGCCTGCAATTACTGTTAGCCGGATATCGAATGAGTGAACCATCACTGGCAGCTCATACCTATCCCAGGTGTACATCCCCCACCATAACCGTTTCCGCATCTCGCCTTCCAGAGGGGGCCAAGGGCCCGACTCCAAATGCAGGCCAATCTCCTGCGCGACTCGGATGGCGGACCCAATCCAGACCCAACTCGCCGACTGAGAATTAACCTCGTACAAGAAAATGCTGACCAGCAGCGCCGCCCGTGCCTGGTCCAGGGTGAAGTTGTCCTGCCATACATCAATCACCCCGCAACTGACAGTCACAAATTCTTTGCCTTCCTGTTCCCGATTCGCTTCCAGGGTGTGCAAACGCCCACATGCAAAGACTCCAAATAGAACCGCGGCCCATTCACGGGGCACGCCGAGGAGGGTTCCTGCTTGGTAGACCTCCTCAAATTGGGCGACAAACGTCGGCCAATGGATTACAGGCAGGACGGAGTGAATGCAAGCATAATACTGTCCCAGCAAGCGATTGGCCAGCTCCTTCGGGGGAAGGCGTGGAGGATCAGCGGTGATCAAGGACTTGGGGCCCGGCTGACGGTATGGAGGTGGCACCCTCAGGATCCCTTTGCCGTATTTTCGCAGATTTGCGCGAGCCTCGGCCAGATCCTGCATCACAGGCGCTTGTGGCCGGCGCGGGGGACGATACCCGGCGTCCGGAAGCTTTAGCTGAGGCTGCCCCGCACCATCAATATCCAGATCCATCAGATTGTCCGATCGTAACATGCCCGACCGAAGTTGCTGTAGTTGTTGCTTGGTCGACAGCAGCTGCTTTTCGAGGTCTTGGACTTGCCTGCAGTCAGATTAGAAAGGCAAGATTCCCACAAATACAACAGCCACGGCACGAACTTGATTGAAGACATGCGTCGATTCGTCTCCTTTGTAAACTGGCAGCGCACCTTACGGTTGGTGCATTCTGTGCAACTGGACGACTCGGAAGCGTCACACTAAATGGAATGAGCCATGCTGGGTTCACGAGGGTGACCACCAGGGTCACCGTCACTGCGGCGTAACGTACCTTGACTTTGCGTTCCCGACAGGCATCGCAACTGGGGTCCTTTCTTCGCTGTCGATAGGCCCTCTTTTGCTGCAAAGGCTGCTGTGACTGATGATGGGGGTGCGGTCCAGCCGCAGCACCTCCGCCCATCGGCTGAAGCAATCCGGGACCATTGAGGGGAGGCGCATCGGCGAGCATCGATACGCCTTCAGCAGGAGAGCCACTCGACTCGTATGAACGAGCGTAGGTGGGAGCGTTTGTAACGGGAGGTGGCGGGGGATTGGGCATATGTTGTGCCAACGGTTGCAGTAGATGGGCCATCCTCAACCCGCTGTCGGGTCGACTCGGCGGAGCGGAGAGTAGAGGAGCAGGTGCGGGCCCAAGCGGTTGAAATGGAGCTGGAGGCGAGGTCACCGCATGCACCGGAGGAAGTTCATATGACCCTCCTGGTTGGTTCGGGCTACTCGAAGAATGATAGTAGTGCGCCTGCATGTCGACACCCGCAATGCAACCTCATAAGGGGGGACACTTGAGGGGGAGGAGAAGGAGGAGGGGGGTGTGCAAGCCCGGAGCGATTGCGGACCAGACGAAGCTGCCCGCTCGTCCGATGGAAGAAGCACGGAAGGCGGGGGGGAATCTGGATGGTACAAAGCGAGCAAGAAAAAGGCAGGAAGCACAAGCCGACGGGGAGACCGTCCTTCCTATAGTGTGCAACTCAAAATGCGACACTAGTGCAGAATGATGATAGCTGCAACTGCAACAGCAAACAACGATGGGGAGGGGAAAAGAGGGAGGAATAATTATTGGACCCCGAATCGACGGCAGAAATCCCGAGCGCCAACCCAGAAAGAGGCCCGAGAAAGTGTGGATTGAATCGGGAAGCTGGCCGCAGTGGCAAAAGATGGCAAATGGGGGGGATGGAAATCAATCAATCAATGAACTGTCTCGATCGCGCCAAAATTACACCCGAACCAGAGAGCCACAGGGTTCAATATGCTCCAGTCCAGAAAGTTAAGTTGGGACGATGGGGCTACCGTGGGGTCATCTAGAAGCGGTAGCTCTATTGTCGTTGGAGCGGACAGATGGAGATGAGTCGTCCTGTGGGCGCTGATGAAGCCATACAACAGCCAAATAGGAAAGATAGAGATGAAGTAGAACCACCGAGGTAGACGAGCTGCAAGGAACGTGGGCACGAAGCCAAGCACCAGACAAGAGGTCAGGGCACAGCGTTAGGCGAATGTATGATGATAGATGATAGTACTTTAGGCGGAAGCTGAGTTGGAGGGTTGGGAAGTTGGCAGACAAGGTAAAGGTCAAAAATCGATGAATACGCGGGCAAGTTGTTGTTTTCTTTGGGCAAAGGAGAGAAGAGGGATAGCAAGGAGGAATAGTAAGTAGTAGTTGTTGTAGTAGTGGTTGTTGTTATTGTTGTAGTAGTAAGGAAAGAGGGAGAAGGGAATGACAGCCCGGGGACCACGAAGGTTGAATATAGTGTCAGAGGAAGAGAATGAGAATGACGGCCAACGACAGTCATGGAAGGGATGATAAGCCAGTCGTCAGTCAGTCTCGGTCATACTCTGGATGAACTACTAAAGAAGAACGAGCAGACGTCGTCAGTCATCCATCCTTCTTCATCGCCGCCTCGGAGCCTCTGGGATTTTCCTAAATATTGTTTATTTTATTTTATTATTTTTTAATTGGGATAATATTTTTTAATATTATTACTACTGTTTTATTTTATTCGATCCGATTGTTTTCAGTTTAGTTCAGCTTCCCGTTTCCGAGCATCACTTGCCCTCTTCTACGACTAACTACTTACTAGTAACCTACTTAGATCTGGTCTATGAAACATAGACCCCTACAACACTACTGGAGCAGACTGGCTGTCTTCTCATGAACCTTACTTCTTCAAGAGTATCTGATTGCTACAAACATTCTCACCATCCCAGACAATTTCCGTCCATTCCGTTGGTGGCAGAACCAGCAGAAGAGAGGGGAGGGGGGAAAACACTACTTACTTACAATACCAGGGGGGGAAAGAGCTCGACTCAAGCGCCGCTGCCCACTTTTTGCATGCGACCAGGCCTCGGATGGCGTGCCAGAGCTCCTGCGCCAGGGTCCTATCCATGCCCAGGAATCGGCTCCGAAAGTCTCTCGGCTGACCCCGGTTACAGAGTTTAGTGCTAAGCAGCTCGGCGGTTGACAAAAATATTCAATAATCCCAAAAGCCATAGCTGAAACGAGACCAGGTGCCTACGCAAATCGGATCGAAGGGGGGGTGCGGAGATTAGCAAATGAGCTTACTGCAGAAGTCTATCCTTAGGAATCTGTTGCCGACAGCCTTCTTTTTTTTTTTATTCTTTTATTTTTTATTTTTACTTTTTTTTCCTTCTTGGCCCCGGTTCCCGTTGATTGACTGGCGGGTTGGTTTTCCTGCGTAGGCTTTTTTATTTTTATTTATTTTATTCTTATTCTACCATTTTACTTTCTACTCTTTTTGTCTGGGTTTATTTCCATTTTATTAATATACAATATTATTTGTTGTCATTCTTGTATTCTTTCCACTTCTACGGTCTTTTCTATGTCTTCTTCCACCCCCTCATTGCTTATTCAATGCTGATTGATGAAATAATTGCTTTTTTCTGATGGCCAGATGAATTTCAACCTGATCCCACATTGGGTCAATTCGGAGGGGCAACACGAGCGGGATGACGATGACGATGCTGGGACCAGTTCCGACGGTCCATCTGCTAAAATTATTATTGTCTCTCGATGCGAATGTTTCTCATATATTAAAAACCACTGGCCCTACGGAATAGCCCGGTGTGTGGGTTCTTTGTTTGATCGTTGCGACTTCTAAATTGCTTCCTACGCCTCATGGAATTACTATTATTATGGATTACCGAGTTAGCACCTACTGCTAGATAGATACTAACTACTTAGTACTAACAACCAGCGCTACAACGGCCCGTCATCGCGTGTGTGTCTCTTTGCTGCACCACAGCCTTCCGGTAACAAGCTCCCGTGTTGAGCTCGCCGTTTTCTTTCCCTCCCCCCATTGTCCATCGCTTGGGGGCCTCTTTTTTTCTTTCTTTCGTTTTTTTCGTTGCGCTTACCCGCCCACAGGCTGTTGACTGTTGAGCTGGTTGTTCTTAGTAGAGGATCAGACCTCTGGCTAGTTGAGAGTATCCCGAGATCGACAGTGGCAGTGTCTTCCTGGGTACCGGCTATCCACAACGTGTCCGTCACAATTTTTTTTTTTTTTTTTTTTTTACCTGTCTGCTCGTCTTAATTTGGTTTCATTCTACCATTTTGTATTTCTATTATTTCTTGATTTCTTTTTCATCTACGGTTTGCCCAGGAATTAATGAAAAAAAAATCTTGGTGAATCCATGGGCCACGAGGTCCCACTCAGGAAAAGGGCGGAACGGCTGAGCTTCCCAGAGGCTGGGACGGAAGAACGGTTGAGAGTAGTTGGAAGGGGATTTTAACTATGGTTCTGACTTCTGACATTCGTCGGTACGGAGAGCAACTCCGTGCTTAAATTCTGACCTGCAGCTGAGGAGGTTCCTTGGCCCTTGACTAGTCTTTTTCTAGTTTGTAATCCATGAGGCGGAATTGACATGGATCAGGTTGTTCTGGGCAGGACTGGCATTTGGCCTTGGCCGGGCTTGGATTGGTACGTCCCTCTCGTCTTCCAGTTCAGCCTGGAACCGCCGTGGTTCGCTGATGATCATCACGGCAACTCCTGGCAGTCCAACTGTTAGCTAGGCTGTCTACAGTAAGCCTGTCCTCTCCTTTCCCCCTCCCCATTCTCCATCCATGGATGGAGCCCTGGGAGTCGTCAAAGCCGAGTGGCTTTCCACTTTCCTTCTCCCCCCCCCCTCCTCTTCGCATCTACCCATCAGCTTGCTACTTTGGGTTGGTTGGCGTGTCCCAGGAGGTCACAGTGATGACGGAGACATGGAAAGTCAAAGCCGCCTTTACCACCTGGTCGATGGGGCTCCTCAACGGTTTGATTGGATGTTGAAGCGGATCGTTTTACTATTCTTAATTCTCCTCACCGATGCTGATGGAGTCCGTGTGTTGCTGGTTCCCCCCCTGAGTACGTGGGAGGGATGAGCGTGATTATGGGGATGTGTTTCCTGAAACGTCGTCGGAGGCGCATTTGCCCTCGGGCCGTACAGTTCGATAGTCTCCAGCAGAATGGTTGGCTGTCGGACAGTAACCTGCGCGCGCCACGATTGCCGGACCCTACTTAGTAGTACTACAGGGTACTAGTCAGTGACTCCCGCGGATTGACTCGGATGAACAGGGTGCTACATAACTCTACAGGGCATACGTACATGTCTCCGAGAGTAGAAGAATGTGCAAGGGGAGACAAGACATTCATTCACTCATTCATCAGCAGCAGCATCATTTTCATTGGTTACTAGACTACTACTGTCTACTACAACCATCCGTACCAGACGAGCAGTTCAGCATCGTTCTGACGATCGACTCGGAATCCCGCCTCCGGACAGAGCCTATTGGCCGAGCCACATGGACGCACGAGGCAGCAACCGTGGTCAAGTTCCACCGCAATTCCTGCATATTACGCGATGGGGAATGATAATAATGTTAATGCCTCTTTCTGTCTCTGGGCATCGTTCTCTGTCTCTGTCAATTGAGCCGGTGAGCTGCTTTTTGCTGCTGGCTGACGATGACTTTGGATCACCGTGGCGGAGTTGGAGTCTAACGAGTGACGCCAGCTTCGGACGAAACACGGAGAAAACCGCCCGGGTGGTGGCCAGAGCGAAAAATCCCCGGCCCATCATTTTTGTGCTTTATTTTTACTTTTATTTATTATTTATTATTTTCTATTTTCTGATCTACTTTTCCTCTACGGATAAAGAGAGCGAGCGTGAGAGATATCGGTTCGCCTAGAATTTGGTTATGATTGCCATTCCTCGGCCTTAGCCATATTCTTGCTCCTGCTGAATGTAGTTTAGTATGCGGGATCTGATGGGAGATTTTTCGTTCCTTTTTTTTTTTTCTCTCTCCGAATTTCCCTCTTTTCCTTTTCCTCACTGTTGGCCGGTTAATCTTATCCTCTTTAGCTCTTCAGAATTTTCGCTTGGCGCCTTCTCCTACGCAATTCATTTGTCTTCGAGAGGCTTTTTGAGGCTTGTGTGGTCACCGTATCACTTGCCATCCACCGCCGTCAGCCTGGCCCGTGGACTAGCTTTAGCCGTCAGATCTCTGGGCCAATGAGGGGGCGTATGTTCCTTCTCCTCAGCAGTTGCCATTCAACCGTCGACTCGGGCGAGAGACTATCATCAGGTAGTCGAACTTGGCATCCCTATCCCAGTATCTAGTGGTGTGTCTGTGTCTGTGTGCGCGGCATCCATCAAGGCTCGGGCTCCTGACGGTCATGTCGATCCAACAATTAAACGGAAGGGAAAATAGTGGAAACAGGGTCCATTGCTTGTCGCACTGATAATCAGCAGACGCTCCCTCGGAGATGTCTGAATCCAGCCATCGATCGTACTGTAGGCATCGTGTTCCGAGTGGCTAGCTGACGAGGATGATATTTGGTCAGGCACCATTCTACTACTTTTTCCCTTTCGGCTCGCGGATTCCGGAGAGCCCAGTAATTGACGCATCTTCCTGGTACCTACATATTTTCAAGGAAGCACGAGGATTAGCTCCGAGTCGCGATGACCGTCGACCGAGCGCCGACTATGACCGTCGTGTGCCTGCGCAGGACCAGAGAAGTTGGGCGGGGTGGGCACGAGCTCTAGCCGCATCATGGATCCAGCTGCATGCTGCTATTTCTTTCTACTGGACACACACGCACACACGCACACACACAAAATGTTGCCCTGTCTGCTGCGGAAATGATATCCCCAGCCAATCTAGTGGGAGAGGTCGCACAGACGGACAACATCCGCATTCCTCGTCGGTGCAGGTTACGCATTCCCCCCTGTCTTGTGCCGTGGGCTAGAAGCCTTGCTTTCTCTTTTTCGGCCCCTCATGCTTCATTTTCGTGATTTGTTAGAAAGTATTACTCTGATCATTGTTTCTGATATTTTCGGTCTGCTTCTGGGCCTATCGAATCGAACATTACAATCGCTCAGGCCTATCCCTTTGTGGAGGGCCAGGCGCACAGCCCGGTCATACTAATGGGATTAGCAAAGCATAGTACGGAGTAAGACGTCGCGAGGTCTATTGTCGCGGAAGGATTCGTTTTTGAGGCCTGCGGGTTGGTTGCATGACGGCCCGTTGGCTGGAAGCTCGGCTCAGGAACCTGGACAGCTCTAGCTGGGCATCTAGGCTCGTGTCGAGATGATGCTGGCTTGGGTCCCCGCACCAGTATCAGCCAGGTGTGCTCAGATGCCTGAAGGTGAGCCTAGGCTCCGATGTCGATTGCTGAATACAACAGTCATTATGCCCTATTTACGAAGTGGAATTCAACAATATCCACCGAAATTATCATCATCTCGACCATCAATCACGGGGAATGAAAAGGAGATTAAGAGGTCGTGACTAAGGATGACTAGCGACTGCAAGTCTGGTAAGGCCGGAGAGGTGGTGGCATGTAACGTAGCCGGGCCGGATATTCTAACCGAGATCTCTAACGATGCGACGATACGGTTAGACCTTTAGAGCCCGTCTTGACGGTCCTGGAGATGACCGGAAATTAAATCAACACCACCATCACCATTATTCACCCATGATAAGACAAGCCACCTGAGGTGAAAGTAGATAGTCGACGCCAATGGGATTGATCACACAGTCTACACGAGGAATTAATAGGGATTCCTTATGACCTATAACAAGATGATTAAGAACAAGGTGGAGAGAGATGGTTACGATAGTCGTGATCTCTCTTCCCAATCCGTCTCCGAGACTCCGAGGGGGGGGGGGGGGGGGGGGGCGCGCTGTCATGTCAGCCAGTCGCACTTTCCGGTGAGCTAAAGTTAGCAGCCAGTCAAACGCATAGAAATGGACGCAGATTCCGACAGCCGGACGGGAAAGGATCCCTTTGGAGTATGGCTAGATACGTACAGTACTAGACTAATGCTAATGTGGTCCGGTTTGGAGACAACCACCGGGTAACTGACCGGATGATTATTATTGGGTGAATGACAATTTCTCTTGCTCTGCTAGTAGCAGCGCACAATCAATCAATTCCCAGGGTCCGGTGCCCCCCTTTCCCCTCCCTCCGGCCTCCATTATCCATCCCCATGTGGACGGTCCATCCCGTGACAGTCTGCCGCTGCACCCCATCCTGTAACCATCTTTCTTGGTTAGATAGATGGATAGATGATGGTATCATCTCTTCCCAGTTCCTCTTTTGCGCACGCGCTGATTTACTAGTCAGTTTCCCTGTTACATCCCACGGCAAGTCTTGGCTAGCTTAGTAGTTAGCTGTCTGGCCAGACCGACCCTGCATCGCTTCTACTAGATAATCATTTCGTATTCTCAATGCTACTAATGCTGAAGGGGCGGTGTCATGAGGGAGTGGATAGGTATCTACTACTACCAAAAGTATACTAATCTCCCCTCCCTCCCTCTCTATCTATCTAATTCTCATTTCCTCTGGCGGCTACGTAAACTACTACTACTACTACTACTATCTAGTAGCGAGCCAAGTAAGAAAGTAACTTCCCGAGGTGTCTGCCCAGGAAACCTATCCGTCCATACAAGCCCGTCCGTCCATCGCAACGCCAAATTCGGTGAGTTCCGGTCACCGGGACTAACCTTCTAACCCACAGTAACAGCAACAAGGGTCTCTCACTCACACACACACACACACACACACACACACAAAATCTCTTGCCACTTTACTACGGAGTACTGCCTCCTGTTTCATCCTTTTTCGTCCCACCCCCCCTCCCCTCTCTTCTTCCCGCGCCCATCTCTATACGCTGCTCGACCACCGGCCCTCGGCACCACTTCGGTCGCTCAATGTCCAATGATTGAAGAAGATGCCCGTGAGCAGGGGGGGCATCACGACCAGTCCACGTGGGGGATGAATGCATTGACCTCTTGATGTTGTTATTGCATGGGCCAGTGATGTTGGCTGATTTGATTTATTTTCTCTGTCGTCGTAATTGATTCCACTTGGGATGGGAAGAGTGAGGTCATATCCTTTTGGGATCGATCGATCTGTCGATGAGTACTAGTACTTAAATAGGCGATGCCGGTTAGGCAGTATTGTGATTGTCATTATGTGTGTGGAATCACAGTTATCTATGATTTAATATGTGATATTCTTTCATCTACGGATTGTAAGGATCTTGCGAGATTAACATTTACACACTGGAAGTAGATACTAGTAGTAAGTTGTGCCCAATCCAGTGATTGATCGAAGATTCCGAGATCGCGCGGGTCAATGCTTACGAGGGATTGAGCGATGATTACCTTACCTACCTACGTAGTACTCCGTGGGAAGGACACGAGATCAATTAGCATTTGATGTAGTCATGCGGTATTGGTTCGATGAGAAGATAGTTCTTATCTAGACCAATTGATTGATAGTTATACTAAGTATACTTGTGTAGTCGTCGGCTATTGCAAGTAGTAATACTATCTAAGCGATGCTTATGCCCTACCTACCACTATCTATGTCGGACATGCGCTAGGCTAGTCCGCGAGGGCTTTGTAGTTAGTAGTATTCCTGGGATAGTCTTTCTCCGGGGTCAGTGCTTCCAATATATCACACTAGAATAATGCTAATTGCTTCGTGTGTCGAATTGGACTAATCGATGTAGTAATATACAGATATCTGTTGTCGGATGTGAGGCATTTTGTTGATGCAGATTGCTTAGTTGCTAGGGTATTACTACTGAGCAAGGATATAATGAGTATGAAAAGAAGTATCACTATGCACCCAGCCCACTCCTTAATCTATACTAGTCTACTCCGTACAATGAAATAAGATCAAGCAAAGCATAATCATGCTAGCCATCTTACACACAGCATTCAACCTGTCTACATATTCCCTCCTCCTCCTCCTCCTCCTTACTACTTACCAATCCCATAACATAGTGGATAGATAGTGTCGTGCTTCGCCTCGGCTATGACGATACTTCTCAACAGTCAACTAAGTAAGCAAGCTAACTAGTTAGCTAGTCAGTCAATTAGCAAGGACAACGCTTACAGGAAAGAATTTGACTCGACTGATCCTTTCACCTACTAACTAGTTATCTAGTTAGTTACTATCTAGCTCAGTGATCAATTTTTACTAGTAATAACGCCCAAGCTAAGCCTCTAATCAAACGGGACAGCTCCACGATGAGTACTATACTAGGTAGGTAGTGGTTAGCGGGTAGGTAGCCCCGAAATGATCGGAGGTGGTTCCGATAGTTGGGCCGGTAGACTACGTTCTCCGTACGGAGTGGATAATTCGGGCTTGAGGGAATTGGAATTGGAATTGGGGGTGGATGGGGCGGAGGTGGTAGGTCCGCTGCAGTGACTGGACGTTGGTTATTGCTTCTCTCTTCGTATTAATTTGAAGCGCTAACTGTGGTTAGTTGGGTATATCCGAGGTGTGTATCGGAATGTCCGATGGGAATATCACATGAGTAGTATTAGGTATTATCTTCACTTATTAGTAGGAGGATCATAATACTCTGTACTATTAACATGAGTATCATATTATGAATATATTGATAATCAAATGAACACTCAGAACTAGAACAAGAAACTAACAGACAGACGGAAGAAATAGAGAAACACCCAACTCCCCCAATGCCATCCATCATCAATCCTCCATCCATCCATCCCCTACATCTACCACTCACAGCACGACAAACTCACCATAATAGCATTCTGGATAATGATAAAAATCAAACCTTCATCCCCTCCCACCCCCTAACAACAACCTCCACAATCCTCTTCACCCCCTCAATCTCCTCCTCAGCCATCACCCCCATCGTCGCAGGCTCAATACTCCCACCCACATAAACAGGCGTTTTCATTCTCCTTGCGAGAATCTTCGCAATCCGGGCTGTGTATTCTACACTTCCCGGGGAGGAGTAGATGGTTGTTGATAGCACGTTTTTGGGATTCATTCTCTGCAGTCTTCGTTAGATCGTTTTATACCCTCACTGCTATTATACTAGTAGTATATAATGTATACTATAATGATGTTCATGGGTATATATAGTAAGGAACGTATGTTTATAATGGCGAGAAGCAAAATGGTAGTAAGGCAGGGGGGAATGGCAGGAATAGACACTCACGTCCGGCATCGCATACACAAAACTCCCCATCGGCTTGATACTCCCCGCTGCATCGCCCGGCGTCGACGAGGTCAGGAAAACCGTGCTGCAGGTTTGGTGTCGTGTGAGGTGGATGTGGGCGGTCGTGTGGGGGGTGTAAGGGAGGGGGAGGGAGAGTTCTTTGATTTCTGTTGTCATCTTTCTTTTTTTCAACCTTCTTTTGTTATTGATTTCTTGAGATGAGATGGTATTGTTGTGTGGTGTATATTGAGTTCAGTATGTTGTGCGTATATTTGGTTGTTTGTAGTTCAGGATAGATAATTGTTAGTAGCTACCCAGCTGGTTGAAGTTTGGTGGTTTGGTTTGCATCACCGCTTTGAGGTCCGCATCTTCCCGCCGCCAAAAGTCAGTGAGTTTCTTGTGCGGGTCCCCCGCTACATTCTTTGCGACGGTTTTTGGGTTACCACTGTTGTTTCTTTCTTTGGCTACAGTAGGGGGTTTGAACGTAGGTAGGTAGATCTATTCTTACTTGACTACGGGCCTATCTAGTATTGGGATTGGATTGCTGATTATACGAATTGCTAGTCACTGCACCATGGACGAGCACGAGCCAGATGAAATTCGCAGCTGGTCAGGCGATTTCGACCCCTTGGCTGATAATGCCGAGCGCCGTGTGCTCTTTGCTGCTTTTGATTCTTTTAGGTGAGTCATTTGCTATGTGACCCGGTCGTGTTGTTGAACATAATCGGTGGTAGTCCGCTGGCATGTCATCTACGTTGCTAACACCCTCAGGCAATATCGGAGAACGGCGCACATGAACACCACTCACCGTCGTCGTCAGGCATTTTATGCCCTACCATCTGCCCACTGGCAGATGTTGTCGGAGCCGCCGTTCTCCATCCTCGACAACTTCAACCGCGTGGATGACGCCATCGACGTGAACGCCGACATCGCAGATGCCATTCTGACCACCGGTCTCTCGTCGTTCGGGCTCTCTGCGAACCCTGACCCCAACGACCCGCGTCAGAATTGGCACGGGACGGCCACCCAGTCCGATGTCAACAAGGCGCACTCCACCCTGAGACAGTTCTACCGGGACTGGAGTCAAGAAGGCCAGGCAGAGCGAGACGTCTGCTACGGCCCTGTGCTGTCCGACTTGCAGAACGAGTTCGGCGCACGGATTGGCTCCGAAGACGAGGACGAAGTCAGGGTGTTGGTTCCTGGCGCCGGTTTGGGGAGACTGGTGTTTGAAATCTGTCGGCAAGGCTTCGCCGCGGAAGGGAACGAGATCTCCTATCACCAGTTGCTGGCGAGCAGCTGGATTCTGAACCACACGCTCGGCCCTCAGAAACACGCACTGCATCCATTTGCGTTGCATTTCTCGAACCTCCTGTCCCGGGAGCAGCAGCTGCAGGAGGTCAAGATCCCGGATCAACACCCGGGCACAGCCATGGTGGAAGCTCAGGCGAATTCGGCGCCATTTGGGCGCATGAGCATGTCGGCGGCCGACTTTACTGTGTTATACACCAATGCCAATAATAAAGAGGTGTTTGATGCCGTGGCGACGGTGTTCTTCATCGACACGGCGCCGAATCTCATCCGGTATATCGAGGCGATCCGACACTGCCTCAAGCCCAACGGCCTCTGGATTAACGTGGGACCGTTATTGTGGCATTTCGAGGACGGCAGCAACCGCAGTCAGCACGGAGGCAGTGAGGAGGGCCAGGGTGACCAGGGGATTGGGGAGCCCGGGAATGTGGAGCTGACGGAGGCAGAAGTGTTTTGCCTCGTGGAGCGAATGGGCTTTGCGATCGAGAAGCGCGAAGCGCCGCACGAGCGACCCATGTGTGGATATATCCAGGACCCGGACAGTATGTTGCAGCCATTGTATCGGCCGTCGCATTGGGTAGCACGGAAACAAAATGTATAGAGGTTGTTATATACGACTGATTTTATTGAAGTCTTGTAGATAACGGCAGGTGATGATGATGGCGACCATCAAAACAGGCCGGTGTCGGTCGGGAGTAAGCAAGCAAGCAGCCAGTCAACAGGGAAACAAAAGATGTGGGATGTTGGTCTGGTGTTGTGTCATGAAAGATACCATACGGAAATAAAACCAGATCGGCGATACGCGAGACACAGATTTTCAGCCGCAGACAACGAAACAAAGAAGAGGGAAAGAAGACAGTTGACAGACAGACAGAGAGACAGACAAGGCTGGCGAAGGCTTAGCGGGCGTGGCTGAACCCGCCGGTTCCTTGGGGCCATTCCTTGGAGTGTGTCCACTCCGTCCATGGGAGGCTAAGTAAATACTAGTCAGTCAGAGATGAGTGGAGTGGACGGCCAAACAAAGGACACAGTCCGGGCAGATGCAGATCCACCCACAACAAGAAGACGGATCGGCTCAACTGCCAACACTCGATGTTTAAGGGATCATCGGGTGTCAATCTCGAGTCAAACAAAAGTACTTTGGGTTGTAGACGAGGAGGCTGGGACGATGAGAATCGAGATGATCGCACGCGAAATACTTACTCTCATCTCACTGTAGATGGGTAATTTGTGGAAGATGAAATCAATTCAATCTCTCGGAAGGGTTCTTTCTTTACGCCGAGGCCAAACCAAACTGGGGGTTCCTTTTCAGTATCAAACCATACCATACTGTATGGTATCATACATCCATAATAGAATCAGGCTGAGAAAGAATCATGTTCAACCATGAATTCGCCAGACTCTATCTGGTCGAGATAAAATTATATTACTTGAATTGTTTTCTTTTTCTTTTGATCGCATCCAGACCCGTCAAGACAGAACCCTGAGAGTTAGTACCGTCATTAGGAGTAGTCGGAGAATTTGGGGAAGGGGAATCCAGGGTTGACAGAACAGACATGATCCAGTCGGGCGTTATCGCGACTCTCTCAATTTAATCATTCCAGAGCACGGATTCCCTGCCATCAAATCAATCCCACATCTCACTTCATAAGCAATGGTGGTTATTTAGTTGGTGACTTAGTTAATTAGCTGGGCGTTTAGTTAGTTAGTTCTTCTTTCGCTTCTCTTTTCTTACCCTTACCCTTTCCATCCCCCTTTCGAGGCTGAATCTTTTCCGATCCTTGACATTCTCATCGCATCGCATCTCCCCCGCAATCAATTTGGTGACAAAGTTCAGTTAACTTTCCCGTCTGTTTGTGTTTAGTTTAAACTGTTGCTGCTGCTCCTCCTCCTCTTTCTCCGACTCCGCCTCAATCGATTCCACGCCCACTTTTCCTGCCATTCCCATTCCATTCCTTTTGGGGGAGGAGAGAGTCACTCACTCACTCCCTTCTCTTGTCCTTCGTTCTTACCTGCTTTGCTCTGCTGCCTTAACCCATCTGACCCGCTTACTCTCTCCCTCTCCCTCACTCTCCCTCCATTCTTTCCCTCCCCCCTCTCCCCTCTTCCTTCCCTTTCCTCTTCTCTCCTCTCATTCCCTCCCCTCCTGCCCTTATTTCCCCCCCTCCAATCTGCATCCTCCCTCCGTGCCATCATCCGGTCTTCCATATCGACCTGATGAGCTCACGGTTGAACTTCAAATCGTTCACCTTCGGGACGAAGCGCAACAAGAACCACTCGCCTGTGCAGCACAGCCAACCTGTGAACGCTCCTTCTACCAACACCCTCGTCGCCGCTCCCTCCTCGGCCACTTCGCCCAGCTCTCCTCCCTCCGGTACCAGTTCCTCGACCACCAGCCTCCCCATGAATAACCAGAATACTTTGGGGCGCCCCCCGAGCTACACCTACAACACTGCCGGCCGGCCCACCAGCCCTCTGCCGCCAGGCCAGCCTATGCCTCACCACCCTCCGCCGTTAAATACCAACCTACCGTATCCTCAGTCCTCCATGGCCCCCATGGGCGCTCCCCCCGGCTACGGGTTACAACAGCAGCTCGGTCCTGGCATGGCTCCCGGCCTTCACCAACCCCAGTACGGCGTGCGGAACCCCGCCGTCGAAGTAGAAGGCGCCGGCCGGAGTAAGGCTCAGTTGATTGTGGGAATCGATTTTGGCACGACATTCTCCGGTGTGGCTTTTGCATTCGCGACCAACAACGAGGCGAGAGAGGACATCATCACAGAGTGGCCTGGCGCAGGCACTCACACCAAACAAAAGGTGCCGAGAAGCCCCCTCCCCCCTCACTTCCGCACATGACCAGCTTACTGACCAGAGTCTTTGCTTGGCTCGTCTAGATCCCGACCGTTCTGTACTACGATCAGTACCAAAAGGTGGTGGGTTGGGGCCCGGATATCGCTGATGCTTTGGCCCCCACTGGATACCCGAAGCAAGGGGTACAGAAAGTCGAGTGGTTCAAGCTTCAGCTGATGCTCTCCGGAAACACGTACATTGACCCCATCAACCTACCGCCTTTGCCTCCGGGCAAGTCGGAGATCGATGTCGCCGCCGACTACCTCTTCAAGCTGCGACAGGCCATGCGGGCCCAACTCCAAAAGACCTTGGGTGAAGTGTTTACCCGTGAAGAGCGAAACATTCGGTACTACATCACCGTACCGGCCATTTGGAACGATGCTGGGAAAGCAGCAACACGAGCCGCCGCCCTCCAGGCCGGCTTCCTGAGAGACGAGAATGACAACCGCCTCACCTTGGTATCCGAACCCGAGGCAGCGGCACTTTTCTGTGCAAAGACCGGTCTGCTGAACCTCAAGATTGGGGACGCCATCCTGATTGTCGATTGTGGAGGTGGTACGGTCGACTTGATCGCGTATGAGGTCGAAGAAGAGCAACCGTTCAGCGTCGCGGAATGCACCGCGGGCTCTGGAGATTCGTGCGGTTCCACCGCGCTCAACCGGAACTTTAGCAACATTCTCCGTGCGAAGATTCGCAAGATGAAATTGCCGGATGGTTCCCGCACGGCAGGCAAGGTTTATGCCAAATGTATCATGGACTTTGAGAATCGGATCAAGGCCGACTTCCGCAACAATGGCCAGAAATGGGCAGTGGATGTCGGAATTGAAGCCGACTTCCCCGACGCAGGCATCGAGGAGGGTTACATGACGTTCACTAACGAGGAGATCCTGCAATGCTTCGAGCCCGTCGTGAATAGGATCCTTGAGCTGGTGCGCAATCAAATCATAGCGATCCAAGCGCAGAACAGGTCACTTCAGGTTTGTACCCACCATCCGTCCGCCCAGCTGCATTGGAAAGCTAACCAGAATTGCAGAACGTCCTTGTTGTTGGTGGTTTCGGTGCTTCGGAGTATCTTTTCCAGCAGATCAAGCTCCACGTCCCTCCACAATATCAGTCCAAGGTAGTCCGACCGATGGACTCGGTCGCTGCCATCGTCAAAGGTGCCGTAACTGCCGGAATCACCGAGCGGGTGATTACGCACCGTGTAGCACGACGCCATTACCTGATGGCCACGCTGCAACCCTTCAAGGAAGGATATCACCCCGAGCAATACCGTGTTCCTAGTCTTGACGGCCGCGACCGATGCAAGTACACAAGGCAAATTTTCGTGCAGAAGGGCGAGCGGGTGAAAATCGGCGAGCCTGTCAAGGTGAGCTTTTTCCGGCAGGTTGCGCCGGGAGCGACCCTCATGTACGAGGATATCCTGTACGCGTGCGATGAGGATGTTTGTCCCGAGTACACTAAGGATCCACGTAAGTTGCATTTCGGACTGGCTGCCTTGTTGACGGGGTGCTAACGTTGAATGCAGGTATCAAGGAAGTCGTCACCCTCACCTCCGATCTGTCCCGTAAGAACTTGGAGACCGATTTCGAGCGCATGGACACGCCTCAGGGTACTTTTTACCGCGTGTACTTTGACATTTACCTCACACTGGATGGTAGTGAATTCAGCGCAGAGCTTGTCTGCCAGGGCGAAGTGATGGGTCGGTGCCGGGCCAAATTTAGGTAGACGGCGCCCTGCTTGGGTTAGGCAGGCAGGCAGGCAGGCAGCAGAGAGCGCTCCTGTATGGATGGTCCGAAAAAAGAACCGACTGAGAGTACAAATCGGGTTGAATGTGGAAGTCCCAACTTTTGTGATACACCAATGATGATCAGCACTGCACTGGGAGGGCGTTTTATATGCTTGAGCTTGCGTCCGTGTGGACGATTTTGGACATGATCATTTTGTTGCGAGCCCCACCGATTTTGGGGCCAATTGTCTGTGTTTTCTTATTCCCCTGGATACCTCTTTGGATGAGCTTTTTGATGAATTCTATTTAATCCCATAATGGCAAAACTATCCATAATGGTTTCTTCCACCGCCGCTGTCACTTTCGGGACCTAGTCATTCTTCCGGGCCGACTACTACTGTACTAGACAGGTCAATAATTACCGTCCAGGTGCATATACCCAATATTAGGGACTACATGATTGGTTATGAAATTGTCCGACATTGAGTTATTTTGTTTTTTTCCCCATCATGCTTATATTATCAGGAACCTCGGTATGAAGTTGAAGTACTGTGGTAATTATTGGGCACCATTATGAACAACCATACAATAACCATCTCCATCACCCATACGGAGTAACTGGAGTAACTACTTCTTCTTTAGGTAAAGACTGCTAAGCATATGTCAAATCAGACTCCCTCTCACACTCTCTACAGTAGGAAACCAAGATAAGCCACGTAGTTCCTTTTCAAAGAAGACGGATAACATAGACGTGTACGTTCATGCACGTCTGACGCTGGTGGCTGGTTTGGGATCAAGGCATCCATCATCCATCATCCGTAGATAAAAAATGAAGCTGTCACAACTACTGTATATAGAAAATGTGGGGTGCTTATTGGATGCATTGATAGATATATGCATGGGGGAGGACATTGGAGATAGTCCTTTCCTTCCTGTCTTGTCTTGTCCTCTTATACGCATACAGTGATAGACAGGTGCGTCTGACCAGTTGGGGTTGATAAAAAAGGATTAATGGATGCTAGAGCCACGTGTGTGTGTGTGGTGGGAGGGAGCCTGGGAAGATGTGTGTCCTTGCTCAAGAGGTAAATGCATAGAGAAGCTAAGAGAGAGAGAGAGAGAGAGAGAGAGAGAGAGAGAGAGAGAGAGACTAGAGGGAATGTTGGTGATATGCTTACAAAGGCTCATTAGCAAAACGTAAGCAGCACTTTAGACCTGAATGGTCACTCCAAGGCATGGGGGTATCCAATTGCCGTAGCAGTAGACCCTGTCCCGCGCTGTTGATTGCACCGGGATGAAGAATGTCCATCTCTTGCCCCTTCAGGCCAAGAACGGCCACTTTGTCCAACCGTCCTGGAGGGAAAGGTTCCCGACCATCAAGACCCCAGGTGAAGCCCGGTTCGTCGGGGTGCAGCTCGTTCCACACGTCTACCAGACCGTTGGTGGCCACGAGACTGTCATCCTCTGGGAGGACAGGGTTGAAGTCTCCTGCGACGAAGCCATGCCCGGCACAACGGAGACTATTTGCAACGATGGCGAGCTGCCGCGGACGACAACTTGGCTGGAAAGCAAGAGAGTCCAGATGCACATTGGCCAAACGGACACGGGTAGCGGATTGTGGCATGAAGACATCACAGCAGAGAGCGTCTCGGTCAAACTTACTTGGATAATCAACTCGCCAGACTGGTCCGAGGCATGCTTTGTCTGGGTCCCGACTGTCTGTACTGAAACTGGCTTTGGATAAGAGTATCATGGTAATGAATGCGAGACCCCCTTAGTTGCTGAGGTCCCCCTCGTTAGAATACCAACCCTCGCGAATCCAGGGTTCATCGAGGAGGTAAAACAGTGCTGCCTTAGGGACTTCTTGGAAGAAGAGTATGTCAGGTGGAGGTGTTTGATTGCGTATGGTGGAAATGATACCGGCCATACGGTCATCGGGAAACTTGGCGAAGGCATCTACATTCCAAGTTACAAGGTTAAGTGCAGGTATCTTCAGTTTCGCTTTGTCTGAGGCTGACATTGTGCTCTCATCGCAAGTCACTGAGGTAGAGGGTGGAAGTGGGCTCCAACAGTTGGAGAGTGCATCGAAGGAGTACCATTCCTGAAAAGTTGGCGGGGAATCCGCATCAGCTGGTAACGGAAGGGACTGTGTAGAAACATTTGCTGAGGAAGTCATGGTTGTGCAGTGCAGAGACACGTTCCTCACGATCTGCCTAGATGACCCAATTGGGAGGGGTGGAGAGGCTTGGTGATGAGCCTGCAGTGGCAGTTTTCGTTGGATCCGAGGATGAAACAACGAGGGGGGTGACACAGCTGGGGCGAAGTGCTTGCTTGCTCCCTGGGATAAGGACGAGGGGAAGAACGAAGGAGGAGGGGAAGATGCGTTGGGATGGACGTTGGAGCGAGCCTCCTTGCAATCACATGATGCAGGGGTCATTCACCAGCTGGATCACATGATGGCTTCCAAATCGCTCAAACAGGAAGGCCACTGCATCCACGTTTTCACTCTGCTGCGAGGAGACCCTCCAAACCTGTCTGTCGGGCGTCTTCCCCCTTCGTGGCAGCGTCTGTGTTCCGTCGGCTCAATTGATTTCATCATCTTACTAAGATCTAGGCAGCGCCCTGTTCAGCTGCCTTGCAAAAGCCAAGGCCACTAGAGCCCCGTTCAGCAACGGCGGCAGTAAACCCTGGCCATCTGGACTACTTTCTCCCTCTACGAGACGAGACACGCCCTCCCCGATCTAAGCCCGAGTGGTAGCCGGTCTTGTACTTCTGGTCCCAGAGGCTGGGTAAGACGCCCTGACACAAGTACGAATATCTTACCGTACAAGCTGCCCTTTAGGGCGACCGGCCAGTGGCTTATCAGTTACCAAGACCGGTGTAGACCCAGAACTAAGTCTCATTGCCATGCGGAGAATCGTGGAGAACCACCATGGTAGGACCGGCATAGCCGTCCGTGCACGGTGAGTCGATCCTCTTGGGACTTGGACCCAACTTGGGCCTAGTCAAGTCCCACAGCACGGAATTGCAGCTTCCTCGTCCACTCCGATGGCGTGGTCCAGAAAGAGGAGCCCTCGACTTAGTAGGCTCCCAAAGACTCAGACTAGGCCTGAGCTGAGTCAATCCGTCGCTACGGAGTAATGCCGTATGGCCCGCCGAGATTCTTGCAAATCCCTCTTCAATCATTCGACGATCACTGACGAAAGATGGGTTACCACACCGTGCGCCGGTGTTTTTCTGAGGCCTAGAGAGTCTAGACATGAGTTATGGCCTGTACCGTATGGACTAAGATAGTAGGCTGTGCCGAAAGGCAGACAATTTTGGGTCCGCAAGCCAGTCAGTCCACTTAGAGCGTCGTCGTCAAGTCAAGGCAGTAGACACTAGGAACTCCCCACTGTCCCATCGTTGCTATCGGCGAGCTGGCGTACAAAAAAGCAAGTTGGGGGCAATGAAAGCCCATTTCGGTCCGAGAGCCCGCTGTGTCTCGGAGGATTTGATACTCTCGGTGGATGATTTTGGACAGATGTGACGAATGCAAACTGAAGAGGAGAACCCGAAAAAAGAAAAAGGAAATGCAAGAAAACAGGGTGATTAACCTTGATCTTCTGGCGGAGGAAATCTGAGATCGCCCCAACAATGATGGAAGGGGCAAAGTAAGCAATCCCGAAAGAGTATAGAGAGGATGGGAAAATAAAAAATCAAAAAAAGAAATGAGAGGAAAAGCAAAGAAACGCGGCATAAGCAACGTAAAAGATAAACCAAAAGTGGAAAAAGGAAAAAAAGACTCAAAAGCCAGCTAGATGAGACGAGTGGGAGAAAAAGACGCATTCTTTCTTGAGACACCGCCGTCTTGTCGCACATTGAGAAGAGCAAACGTAACGGACACTGATAATTAGTTCCCAATTAAACTGGACCTGCGGCAAGCGCGCTTTGCGCGAACTGGGGCGGTTGCAGCGCAAAACCCCAGATGGGCTCATTTAGGAAGAGTGGAGAAAAAAACAAAAAGAGCAGATTCTGGACTCGTGCCGGAGGTGGATCGCCCGTCAGGTTATTTCATAATTTTCCATCACGCCCACGCTGAGTATCAACTTACCATGGATGGGATGCACGTCCCAACACAGTAAGTAGAATTCCACTAGCGGGTGAATAGCGTATAGTCTGCGCCAGAGGCCTGGCAGGACTGCAAGGACACCTCACAGTACGTCAGTGCCGACCTGGGGCTTTCTCTTAACGACTTAGCTCCAATATAGTGGCATCGCTGCGCCGGAGCCGACTGACCAGTCGCAGCAACTGGAATGACTAGACTGCCAGCACGTCACTCGAAACAGATGGAGACCAAGCGGTGCCTTCTTTCTATCCCCAGCATGGTAGGCAGGTCCGTAGAATTTCATAGCCGGCTAAGAGGACGTCTATTTGCCATTACGCTGGGAGCTGATGACCCTCCTCCCACTCGGTACCGAGTGGGAAGCCGGCCCACGCAGCATCCCACGCGCTTTCCTTCGGTCATCGTGCCCTCTGTTGCACAGGTGATGATGTATGATTTTCATGCACTCCGGTCTAAAGACATGCTTGACTGGTCCCCGGAGGTGGTCCCAACATACCGGACTGCGCTATTTCTTTCTCATTTCGTAATTCCATCAAGTACGATGTCCCCGTTTCGATGTCGCTGCGTCTGCCCCGGGAAAGAAAAAAAAGACGAATACCGCTGGGGCGGAACCGCAGGAACCTGTTAGACAGGGGAATCATTTCCCCTAGGATCCGATCGGGTTCAGCTCACGAGGTCTTCCAATGGGCGCGCGCACGGACGATATACGCGTGAGCTCCGCCTGACGATTCCATAGGAAGAATGGAAGTAGGGAGTGGTATTATTGTCACTGTCACAACCCTTGCCCGGCCTAGTACTCTTTCGTATGTGAGTAAGCGCGTTAACTTAGTACCATTCCCATTCAGGCAAATCAAGGTTAGTAGGCACCGGTACCGTCGCAATTGAAGTGACATCCAGCAGCTAGTACATGGGCCGGGCTGCGGATCCAGGGCGGAGACGGACCTGCGCATGGTTTGAGTTTCTCGTCCACATAGAGTTCACTCTCTGATGGATCCTCACCCCCGCGTTTACCACTAAGACCCAGTGGAGCTCGATTGAAATGAATGCTGAGAATTCAGTGGGATCATGTGGATGCTGTCAGGTTCCTTTTCTTTTTTCGGGGCGGCGAATTGCGGCTTTTGCGGGGAAAGACAGAACGTATCAGAACCCAACCCAGCTCTCTGAATCCGGAATGTAGTAGTCCACTTGTAGCTAAATCGTCTGACCCTAATGATGATCTTTGAGACTATGGCTTACTCTCCTGATTATAATTGGAGCCATTGTCCTCGCCGGGAGCAGAGAGTTTCGCCATGTTGAATTCTCCCATTGCCTCTTCCCATCAGACTTGCGACGTGGAGACCTGTATGCGTGAACAATAAAAAGCTTCATCGAAGATCCTCTTCTTTTCTTTTTTCCTTTTCTTCATTCCCTTTCGTTGTGGACTTTCTTCTCAACGGCAATGAATACCCTATCATGTCTTGCGTTGTCAATTTTTCTTCTTTCCGTTATCTTCACCAGATACCGAAAGAATCTTTCATCGTTATGGCGCACAAAACATACCCAGGAACCAGATTGCAATGATCTCAAGAAAATGGCTCCTTATCCGGCCCAGCCCATCAAGGGCAGGGAGAGATACCGAGTTATGATGGACGTTCGAAAATTGGACGTGGAGAACTGGCTCACCGTTGACAAGAACTATATGGACGAGCACGAAGTTAGAAGCCAATTGCTGGAGACAGAGAAGAGCAAGGTCCTCCAATGCCTCCCCGAGTCATACGATGCATGTTTAGAGGCATTGGAGGAGGTAGTTGAATTCCTCTGCCAGCGATTCTCCAATGTGTTCGAACAGAAAAAGTGCGGCGATGAAACGACTGTGCACAACAAGATGACCGGAGAGACATTTTGCTTTGGAGGGAAGAACAAAGACGTCGATCCTCTAGAAATCGCCGTCAGACTGACGATGGAGGACCTGAGTATTCTGATGAAAAACGAGGAGGACGAGTACTATCTGTTAGTCTTATAATCCTGTTTCTGCATCCAAATAGACCGACTAACCGATATGAATAGCGCCGCCAGCGCAAGCCTTTTTCCCGTTGGCTGGACAGTTCAAGACCGCATTGGGTGGACCATCTCTAAGCTTCACAATCCGGTACCACTGTGGCATCAGCAGGTTGCCAATTCAGTCAGCAAGTAAGTTCTGGATGTTTTGACTGGCAGTAAAGGCGAATTGCAGAAGCAAGGAGAGAGGCTAACGTTCTTACTCCAGGTTCTTGGCTCGGCTCACGCCGGCATCGCCCATGGAGAGATCCAACTACTTCGTCGAAGTGAAACGGCCCGATGAAGACCTATTTGAGATCCTCTATCGACCAACTTCTCTATCTGAGGAGAACCCTGATCCAACGCCGCAAGATATTGTCATTCGTCGCGAGCGGCAAACTTTCCGTCGACTCCCTCGTACCGGAGCACTCGTCTTTGGTGTCAAGACCATCTTGACAACGCTGGACGAGCTGCCGATGCAGGAACTGCAAAACCTTGCCAAAGAGATTAAGAGCTGGCCAGAGTATGTGGGTGAATATAAAGGAAGAGAGGTCTGGGGCCCTAAGGCTCTGGAGTACTGTGAAAAGAAAAGCCGAATGTATCAACAAGACCCCGAAAAGATGATGGTGTAATGGTTGAAGATTAATGAGGTAGGGAAGGAGGGAAGAAGGGGAAGGCGGCGAAAAGGACGCCATCGCATGGGAGGCTTTCTGTTGCATTTTTTGCGTTTTGCATCGCTTCTTGCATTGGGCCATCAAACGGATGGGCGGCTGTCTGAATTGAAAAGTCTCCGGTCAAAGCATTGTTTCTTTATTGCCTGTATTATTCTGCATTTTCATGATACCGTTGACGATCTGCATGACTTGAGCAATCTTGTTGATATATTATAGTTGTTCGCCTGGGAGACTTCAGACCAGCCCAGAATGCACACACTTCTACCTTTTTATGTGAGAAGGAGCATACTACTTGCTCTCAATTGAAAACTATAGTATCCAGTAGCACCAATGTTTACAGTTGGACTATATGAATTTCATTTCAGGTGCCAGTAATATATGGATGTGCTCCAAGAGACCAACGAAAGAATCCGACGAGGAATGACTGAAGATGATGGAATATGATCGGTTCGTTGCAGACTATACTATGTACTATTAACCAGATCTATACTATCTAACATAATTTACTCCAGAATACACAAATACGGGTATATCTACTACGACTGGACGTCAACGGCATGTGTCCTCGTCGTCAAAGCTTAGACCGAGGTGGCTCGTCTTGTTTGAGGCGCACGACTCCCTATAAAGCAACTCATTAGACATGTCCTTTCAGTAAAAGCACTCAACACACATACCTCTTGGGTGCATGTAGCGATCAATGTTCCATCCTTTGACCAGATTTTCTGCAGAACCAAACCTCGTCCCTCACCGGCCCAAGGACTCTCCATTTCTGTAAGCATCCATTCGTCTGCCCGGAATGCCCAAGGGTTATGGAAGTGGATCGAGTGATCAAGACTGACCATCATGCCCACTTCCTTATGTTCCTGGGGTGGCTGGTTAGTTACTCTGTGCAAAGCGCCCTCCAAGCGACGGCGTAAATCTGCCGTTTCTTCTTCCTTCAGCTCCTTGAGAGCGCGCGCAATATCCTCATCATCTAGGTCAGACGGGTTCTTGAGCGCATTTAGTGCCTTCTTGAGTTCCTCTGGGGAAGAGAACCGAGGAATGTTGTGAACCCTGGACACAGTGCCAATGAAATAACTGTCGGTCATATATGCAAGGGCGGAAAGATGAGCCTGATGACCACCCGCATCGGAAATCTTGCCCCGTGACCGCATGAATCGTCTCGTTTTCCTCTCCTGAGGAGGACGGTTTCCTGAGACAGTCAGCATATAAACCTCAAGCTCTACCGACACTATGAAGACTGACGATCTATAACCCCCGCTTTCTGTGATTCAAATGGCCCACCGCCCGATTCCTCGAACCTCCTTTTAGACCCCGGTCCAGGCTCCTCTGGCAAAGTGACAGCTGGCATCGAAGATGCATGCTCGAGCTTCTTCTTGCCGCCACTGTTGGCCTTGTTGAAACTCAGTGTTGTGGTGAAGATGGGGCGACCGCGCTGTTTGGCCTGTACCGTCCGCGTGATATAGCTCCTTCCATCACGTACTCGTTCCACGTGGTACAGTATAGGGATTTCGGAGTCACCGGCGAGGAGGAAGTAACAGTGCATGCTATGGACGGCAAAATCGGCGGGAACAGTTCGTAGCGCAGCGGCGAGAGACTGGGCGATGGCAGCACCGCCGTAGATGCCTCGCGCACCAGGCGGATGCCAAAGGGGTCGCGTATTGGTGAAAACATCCTGTTGAAAGAGAGAAAACCGTTGGACTCGCGAGAACTAAAGAGATGGGAGGGAAAGACATACTTTCCCCACGTCAATCACCGGTGTCAGCTCTAACACATTCTCAACGGGCGCCTTGGTGGGATCCAACGGCGGAGGTTTGAAAAGAGTCGCTGATTCCGCCATATCTAGTGCTTTTCCGACTCCGAGACAAGTAAGGAGTTGAAACCCAGGAATATGCACGAAGCAAATAAAGAAGAAAGTGTTAAGATCTGGCGGGGGTTAAGGAGGCCGCCTTCACACGCCGGTTCGGTGGAGCACGGGCTTTCCGATTCGGGCAATAGCCGAGGCATCTCGATTCTTCATAATTTTGTCGGCATCTCCGGACTTGTGCACGGTTTAACATATATACTGCCATATGACGGAGCAAAGTGTCCTGCAAGTGCATAGGCACCTGATAATTTCTGAGTGTCCTATTGGAAGGATTTTTGGCAGTGGCCTTTTATGTCAACCAGACAGCCGAGGCTTTATTATCGCAAAAGCAATCATTTACTAAGTACGCGTAAGACGACAAGCCAGACTTTCAGTTTGGAGCTATCCTCAGCTGCACAACTCAATGACTGCTGTGATAGCAAGCCCAATGATCAAATTACGTATGAATTGCACTTAGTATCTCACATTCTCGTTCAGAAGAACCTATGGTACAAAAAGCCTATCTCACACCTGCAGATAGAAAGCAAGCTCACGAGACTGGACGGCCACCATTTCGATAGAGCCACAATCTGCTCATTTGGTGCATCTTCAACTTCATATTGAGCCCAACTTTCATGTTCTGCGCACTACCGGAGAGTACCGAGTTCAAACTAGTGCCATCTACTTCCCCAGTGCCTGCGTCCAACAGCCCCGCTGCATCTAGGATCGTGACAGGCCTATCTTCTTCACGCCTATCATGCCGACTTACTACGACATCTGTGTCCATGAAGTCGCCCTCCCGTGGCTCCCGCGTAAACCGGTTAGTTGGGTCAAGTGGGAACATCGTATCAAGATAATGCTGATTGAACTGGTGGCCTGAAGCGGGACTAACGAGCACTTTACCCATGAATCGATTTTCGCGGCGATCCTGGGGCTTACTGTGGTCGAAATTCAGCACCCCAAATCGACATGCAAAATCACGTTTGTTGGCGTAGTGCTCAATGTGTAAGATGCTGCGGTTGTGGATATTGCCAATGATGTCTCCCGTGCGCACATAGCGCATCGCTGCGTTACACGATGCCGTGTCGCGATACGGGTTGTTGAAGTGATTTGCAAGACAGCCAAAGGTGTAGATTTCCAGTTGTCTGATGAGATCCTGTGGTACTTCATCAAGGAGCCAATCCAGGATCATTCCGCCCTCAATACCCCCTTGCGAGTGCAGGATTAAAACAACCTTTTTTACCTCTGGCCGGTACAGTGCTCTTCTAACCAACACGTAGCAGTCTCGGACATCATTTGTCGCGTACAACAGACAACGTTGAATGAGGCATTGGATAATGTCAAATATGACACCCGTTCTAACCACTATCAGACATCCATATATCTGAATAGTTTGAACCTTAACAAAGGATGGGGAAGCATACGTTTTATTGTGGACGCCGACTACTGGACGGTGGAATGTCCGCGATATGCGGTCGACGTTATTCTGTAGCCAGTTCCTCCTGATTCGGTCAGTCTTATGCTCACAAGATAGGATGGAAATGAACGCTAACCCGACGCAAATCCCATTGAGGAAGATCCAATACTCGTCCTCATGGCGATTCCACCGTCTTGAGAAATCATCCTCTGTCGACCTGAGACCGTCTGATGGGATACCCCGGTTCAAAGCGTAGCAGATGAGCGTATTCAAGGCGAGAGCGGTCACAATATACAGAACGTAGATGCCGAATGGTAGCCAGATAAACAATGGGAGTGAGACAAGAAAGACGAGCTGGAGGACAAACAAAACACAATGAAGACAGATGTCGAAGATATTGGCTGGAGAAGGGTACAGCTCATCCAGACTCCCACATGGCCATGGCGTGAGAGGCAAGAAAATGCATGGTAGGTAGAAAATATTACAGAGGAAGAGCCACAGATCAGCGAGGAACAACAACAAGGGCGAACCAGTATATTTCGGGTAACTGTTGATGTCCTCACCAGATACGGAGCCATAGACTTGACAAGACCCAGCAGGCATGGTGACAAGTTAGCAACAAAGTGGTCAAGTGTAAAGCTTGTGAAAGTGATGAGACATGGTCTCCTGAGTTTCGTTGTATGTATAGTTGATGGCGGTAGATATAGTTTTCAAGACGTCAAATGATTGTCTCCTCAGGTATCTCATGTGGCAGCCTAGAACCTGACGCACTCGCCGGGATGACCGATCGGGAACCCCGTGGTTTGCCTGGTTTGACGAATGAAGTAATGGCTGGAGGCGCCACGGAATACCTCAAGATGACCAGCCAAGGGCCCCGGATCGTCAAGCTTGAGTCTAATTGACCTAGATTCTCTACGGCCTGAGGAGCCGAGATTCTCAAGCCACAACATGCCAGATTGTCTGCGGACCGTTACTTTACTTACATCCAGCCACAAAGTCAATTCAGCCTTTCTTTACACACCATTGAACTGGTGGTGTAGCTGTTTGCGGAAACTCTCTACAGACGACAGAGTTGGTTCAGCCTGGACAATACGATGCGGGCGGGGTCGATTCACGCCCAGAAACTTTTTTCATATGAACATGACGATTGTTCTATCCCACGACATGTGATGGGCTGAAGGCCTACTCGTATCGAAATGGGTGAGCAAGATATCTCATATTCGTGACCGGCCCCTATGCTCTTCTGTTACGAATTTCTTAGGGAAGCTAAGGCCTGGAATAACTTTGACAAGGCGCCCTGCTCGATTTCGAATTCATCATATACCTGCCTCCGTAGATACTCGGTCTCAGAACAGACAATATATCAACACGGATAAACTAACTGCAATGCAAGACGGAATCAGAAGTGCGGAGCACACAGTGAATGGGATGAACGGAGTGCACGATGGTCCAAATGGGGGCTCGCCCTACAATGGAATTCCGTCCGGAAAGCCTCAAGCTCACTCCGCTAACGGAGCTGATAGGGGACCACAATCCCAAAGTCGTTTCCCCCGTATCTCGATGCCAGTAGAGCTCATGCGAGACTCCTACGATGTGGTGGCCATTGGTTCAGGGTATGGAGGGGGCGTGGCCGCCAGTCGAATGGCCAGAGGAGGGCAGAGCGTCTGCGTCCTCGAGCGGGGGAGGGAGAGATGGCCTGGTGAGTTCCCTGAAAAACTGGAGGATGCGGTGGAGGAGCTTCACGTAAGCGGTCAATTCGCTCCCGGCGACAGAAGAAGTATCCCTGGAGCTATGGTTGACGCGGGGAACCCAAATGGCCTATACCACTTCGTGGTAGGCGAAGGCCAGAACGTATATATGGGTAACGGTCTCGGTGGCACCAGCCTTCTGAATGCCAATGTGTTCCTTGAAGCCCATCGCAAAGTGCTGGAAATGGGAGTCTGGCCAGAGGAATTGAGAGGACACGAAGCATGGGAAAAGTGTAAGCATGCACTTTCGTGACCTTTAATATCGCACAATTCCAGGACCGGAAATTGCTCTCCTTTGGACCCGTTTCTGATGCTTTCCAGATTATGACCGCGCAAGGAGCGTTCTGGAACCTGCCAAGTACCCTCCGACTTTCCCAAAGCTTCTCAAAGCCGACCTTCTCAGAAGGCAATCGGAGCTCATGAGCTGGGGCGATAAATTCTACCGTGTTCCGCAAACAACTCGGTTTGAGGACGGCCCCAACTCTACGGGAGTCCACATGCAGGCGTCACAGCTGACGGGAATGGATGCGACTGGTGTCAACGACGGCAGCAAGTCTACAACGCTTGTGAACTATCTCAGTGATGCATGGAATTGGGGTGCCGAGATCTTCTGTAATTGCGAGGTCAGATATGTTGCCAAGGCCCCCGATCGTGAAGGATACATTATATATTTCGCGTGGCGCTCCTGTGGACGAGACCGTTTCAGCACTTTCTTTGACGACCTTATGTGGGTGCATGCAAGAAAATTCGTTTTCGTAGGAGCTGGAAGCATCGGAACCACCGAGATCCTGCTCCGCAGCAGACAGATGGGCTTGGACTTGAGCGATGACGTCGGCACTGAGATGAGCGGCAACGGGGATATGTTGGGCTTTGGGCAAGTTCATCGCTGCGCTTTTCATGGACACAGAGCTGAGACGCTTAACAGGTACAATACCGACTATGAAGCTAACTGCATAGCTCGTCCTGAACCTACGCCTGAGCGACCCGTAGGACCATGCATAACTTCAGTCCTGGATCTGAGGGATCAGGTAAACGTTCTGGATGGGTTCGTGGTAGAAGACTGTGCAGTACCATACGCTCTTGCCCCACTCATGTTCAGCATGTTGGAATACTTGCCAGATATGAGACGTCCCAAGTACAGTCCTGTTGAGAGTGTAGAGAAGTTTGTCGCACGACTGAAAGGCAAGCTTGGGCCATACGTACCCGAGGGAAGTGTGCAGAAGACTGCCGTATATTTGATCATGTCGCATGACAGTGAGCACCTTGCATACTTGTCAGTTTATAAGAACTGTTTCTCACAATATTGCAGGTAGCCAAGGCAGACTATCACTCCAGAAAGACAAGCCAGTGCTAACATACTCGGGTGTGGGCCGATCTAAATCTGTATCTCGCATCCACGGTATCCTCGAGAGAATGACAGCTGCTGTCGGTGGAAATTTTATAGCCAACCCAGTCTGGAGTACTTTGGGTAGGCAGGAGATCACAGTGCATCCCATGTATGTTCATTAGCGGTAGACCCGGCACCAGTTGAAGTACCTAACATTTACCGCAGAGGTGGAGCGCGCATCAGCAAAGACAACACTGGGAACAATGGAGTGGTCAATCACCTTGGGGAAGTATTGAAGGGAAACAGCAGCGAAACGTATGAAGGACTGGTCGTATGCGACAGCTCTGCGCTGCCAGCAGCTGTTGGCGTCAATCCTTTTGCGACCATTACAGCCTTTGCTGAGAGATCAGTTGAGATGGTAGCCCGGAGGCGAAATATAGCTATCGACTATAACACGAAGAACGGTGGGTACTGGGCAGAGACGAAAACGCATCTCCCTCGCTAACAGCCTCAGGTCAATTGGACATGTTCGGTACTCCGGCATATCGTTCTCCTCAAGATGCAGAAACCGCGCAACTTGCATACAGGCTTGCGAAAGCCACTGAAAATCAAAACACCGGTGTCGTGTTCTCGGAGATCATGTCTGGCTTCATATACACTGGTCATGACGTTAAAGACTTTGAGGTCGCGACGAAGCTTGCTCGAGGTCGCTGCGAGAATGCACGATTCTTCCTGAGCGTCAAAGCATGGAGTGCTGAGGAGCGTGAGTTTATGTTGTTACATATAAGCCTCTAGTCAAATTCCACTGACGCTTTACAGTGGTAAAGAGCAGCCAACATTTGGCAAACTTGACGGGAACATTTACTTGCAACACGCTTGGAGGTGTCTTCTTGGTTCACAGAGGCACCTTCCAACTGTTCAACTACGATGCCCGGCAACCAGACACAGCGAACCTGACCTATAACTTTGACATGATATCGACCAGTGGGAGAAAACTGCATTTTAACGGCTACAAAGTCGTGAACAGTGCATCCTTCCTCAACCCACTTGAGCTGTGGAGACAGACCAGCACGCTGTATGTCACCATCACAGATGCGAGCAATATAGTAGTAGGCCGCGGTATGCTGCGCATTCTGCCAGACGATTTCGGTTACGAACTGAAAACCTTCGAAACAAGTGGGCCATCGCTGTGGACAAGGGCCAAATCGGCAGCGAGCTTTCTCGCCTACTTTGCGAAACAGCTTTCCGTGCCATTTCTTTCGGCACTTGGGCAACTTCAGTGGCCAGACACAACGCTGAACTACGCTTCTAAAGAAGTAACTCCATCCTCTACCATTCCATTGACAGCATCTGACGGAGTCACCACAAACATGGTGATGTGGAATCCCACCTTCCAAGGAAAGGATATTCTGGGCCCTGCCCCAACCTTACTCTTTATACCAGGAGCAGCAGTTGACCACAAGATGTTCGCTCTTCCTACCATAGAGAGGAATGCAGTCGAGTACTTCCGCGAGTCCGGATATCGTATCTACTGCATCACTCATAGAGTCGGACGAGCTCCGATCGCTCGAGAAGGGTACACACCGTATGATGCACGGCGCGATATACACGCTGCTCTTGTCCACATCCGCAAGGTTATCAGCACAATGAGTCCGTCCGAGCCTCCAAAGGTCTACGTGGTGGCCCACTGCGCAGGCTCCCTAGCACTGTCTTGCGGCCTACTGGATGGCACAATCCCTAGTGACTGGATTCAGGGAATCACCGCATCAATGGTTTTCATGAACCCGAAGTTTGGAAAGGTTGATAGTCTCCTGTCCAATTTTCCCACATCCCTATATGCCCGACTGGTCAGTCCGTACTGGGATTGCAACAGTAGCCGCAACGACAATTATATCCAGTCACTGTTGAACCAGGCGTTGCGCTTTTACCCTCAGGGGGAGGCCGGGGAGTCGTGCCGATCGGTCGTCTGCCATCGAAGCGAACTTGTATTTGGCCGGTAAGTGTTCCAAAGACGTCTGTGCATCCGCCAGCAACAATCACCTAACAAGACCGCAGTCTTTGGACCCATAAAAACCTCAACGACGCCACGCACACTCAACTCGAACGCTTCCTCGGCGGCACCTCAATGCGTTCCCTTCAATGGCTCATGGAGAGCGGCCGGAAGGAGAGCGTTCTAGCCAACGGGCCAGCTTTCACCAATCTCGTCACGCCGGAAAACCTCGAACGTTTGAAGGGAATTCCGATCTTGTTCCTATCAGGAACTGGAAACATGGTGTTTACTGCCGAGAACACGGATATCTCGTACACGACACTCTGTAATGTGCACGGAAGGGATTGGTACGAGCGGGAAGTCTTCACGGGCAAGGGACATTTGGATGCCTGGATGGGCGCGACAGCCTATCAAGACGTTTATCCGAGGGTGAGACGCCATGTTGATCAGATCATGATGTGGGAACAGGGCCCGGCTGGAAAGATGAACAGGGAGGATATGGTGTAGGGAGATGAGTGGAACCAGAATGTCTATCTATGTGCTGTTTGGTTTGCGTTGTACGTAATCCGGTCCTATGTACGGAGCAGTCTCTAGTGATATCTACCTCAGGACAGGGTATGCGCGCTGCTTCGAGTCCAATTGATGTAAACACCCCAAACAAGTCAAATAACTCAAAACATCCTGAATACGTCACTTGTGGAACTATGCCATATGCGGTTAAAGCCTTTTTACCCGCATCTCCGCCTTCCTGCCTCAGGAACACCTCCGACTCCCTCCCCGAATGCGGCTTGATTGATCATCATTGCAGGTGTCTGCGATGGTTTAGCATCCCATCACCGATCATGTTGACGCCCTACTCAGGACTCCTTCGAGTCCTGCCTTTACTTCTACTCGCCCTCACAGCCACAGTATCCTCCGAACATACCTCCAACTGGGCCGTCCTCGTCTCAACCTCCCGTTTCTGGTTCAACTACCGTCATCTCGCCAATGTCCTCTCCTTGTACCGCACCGTCAAGCGGTTGGGCATCCCCGACTCGCAGATCATCCTGATGCTCCCCGATGACATGGCCTGTAACCCTCGCAATGCTTTCCCCGGAACCGTTTACAGTAACGCGGATCGCGCCGTTGATCTTTACGGCGACAACATTGAGGTCGACTATCGGGGGTACGAGGTCACCGTGGAGAACTTCATCCGCCTTCTGACGGATCGCCTGGACGAAGATGTACCACGCAGCAAGCGACTAGGCTCCGACGCGGGCAGTAATGTTTTGGTCTACATGACTGGTCACGGCGGCGACCAGTTCCTGAAGTTCCAGGACTCCGAGGAAATCGGGGCCTGGGACCTGGCGGACGCCTTCGGTCAGATGTGGGAAAAGAAGCGCTACCATGAGCTTCTGTTCATGATTGATACCTGTCAGGCCAACACTATGTATACGCATTTCTACTCGCCGAACATCATCGCCACCGGATCCAGTGAGCTTGACCAGTCTTCCTACTCCCACCATGCGGACAACGATGTCGGGGTTGCGGTGATCGATCGCTGGACATACTATGTGTTGGAATTTTTGGAGACACAGGTGACGAGTGCCAACTCGAAGCTCACGCTGGGCGACTTGTTCGACTCGTACGATGAGACCAAGATCCATTCCCAGCCGGGCGTCAGGTGGGACCTGTTCCCTGGCGGCGAGCAGGAGGGACGCCTTCGCACCGTGGCAGATTTCTTTGGGAATGTGCAGAACGTCGAAGTTGAGAATGTTAATGCGACCGAGCCGGGCTCGTTGCAGGAGGATTTGATTGAGATTGCCCGACTTGTGAACAAATGGCGCGCCCGCGACCAGGACTATATCGCCCGGCAGAACGAGTCCTTGGTGTCAAAGGATGCCAGTGCGCATGAGGAATCTTCCCCGCATTACACGGTCAAAACCAAGGTTGGGCCGGCGAAGATGTCGGAGGAATCTACGTGGCAGAAGCGGTTGGTCGGGGTTTCCGTCCTGGGCGCGTGTGCTGCTGTCTGGCTTACGGGATCGATCTTGGGCGGGACCTCGGCTTGATCCTGGGGCAGGACTTTGCATTTGATGTATGAGTTGCAGTTGGTCGACTGCCTTGACGTTCTACTGACCTAGAGGCTGGAGCATATCTGCACCCAGTGTCTATGTTAATCGGATAGCGCAGGGATGGCGTTCCAGGTGTCTTTTTCCTTACCAAACAGTTTTCCACCGTTATAATCAGCATAGCATGTACACAGATGAATGCATTGTTTCTTGAACAGACATCCAGCCTAGGGCAACGCAATATGCTTTGGGACTAAACCCAGATTCAAGCCACGCTTTAAGGATAAAACCAATAGTTTCGACCGCCAATTTAGGAAAGCCATTCCCATCGCCCCTCGAAACAAGCCCGTCTGCAGTGCAACATTCTGAAGAACTGAAGAACGTGGAGACCTGCAACATGCCAACGAGCAGCGCCTTTTGAGTAAAATTGATTTTATTTGCGAAGAGTAAAACCCGGGCTTGGCGGGCGGACCTCCGCACGTGCCAGACGCGTCTTCGGGCTGGCGATGCGCGCCGCTCGATTATTACATCGCCTGGTTTCCGCAGAAAACACCCACAAGCAACAACAACATCAGGAAACAATGGCGTGGACGACTCTTGTCTCTTACCTCTGAGTCGCCGCCAAATAAGTCTACCTGCCTGGTTTCCTGTTCTACGACTCAAATTTAGAATTCTAGGAACTTAGTACTCTCCGACACGGCCCTATCCCTCCCTCTCGTCGCCCTCATACTTGCCCACCCGCGTGCTTCAGCCAATTCCTCCTTCGCCCACTAACTAAATAGAACCACAACACCTCCTACCGCGACTGCTTCTTCTCTCACGGCCTGACGAGGGTCCAACAGAAAACCCCCATTCGACCCTCTTCACGCCGCGAATCCAATTCTAACCGCCATGTATCTCCCCCGCCAACTCATCTCCCACCTTTACCAACAACTCCTCCGCTCACACCACCCGCTCTCCCCACCTGTTCTGATCCTCGTGGCCCTCGAACCCGATGCTCTCTGTGCCTGTCGGATTCTCACGGCGCTCCTGAAGCGCGACTACATCCCGCACAAGATCCAGCCGGTAGCCGGGTATGGCGATCTCGCGCGGGCGGGCGAGGAATTGGTCAAGCCCATGCGGACGAACAATGGCGGGAGTGGTGGGGTAGTTGTGTGTCTGGGGGTGGGCGGCCTGGTGGATTTGAGCGAGATATTATGCTTGAGCAGTGAGGAGGAAGAGGAGGAAGAAGATATGGGCGGGGTTGAGGTGTGGGTGTTTGATGCTAGGCGGCCGTGGAACCTGGCTAATGTGTTTGGGGGTGAGGGGCGGCCGTCTGCGGCGGCTGATGCTATGGGAATGGTGAATCTAGGTGCGAGACGAGGGTCGCGCGGCGTTGAGAAAGGGTGTATTACGTCGGCGTATACGTCCGGCAATGGGGGCATTGTGGTTTATGATGATGGGGATATTGAGGAGGAGTTGGGGAAGGAACGGGAGGCATATTTTGAGTTAGTGGCTATGCCCGAAGTGGGTGAGGAGGATGAAGACGAGGATGAGGATGGGGACTCGGGGAGTGATCGCGACGAGGAGCATCCCTCGAGTTCGGATTCCAAGAAACGCAAGTCGTGGTCGCGCGAGGATGAGGACGACGAGTCGGATGACGAAGATGGGCCTCCACGTCAGCGAAGAAGGAGTGATTCGGTGTGTAGTATTCGTTCTTGCTGTGCTGAGGCCGGTGCTAATGTGCTCATTGTAGGGGTCCTATATCATTTCATCGCCGTCACGCCCTCCGCGGAGAGCTATGCATGATTCGTCCAATTCGTCTCGCTCGGTTACACCAACATCAGATTCACCGTCGCCGTTACAGCCCAAGCCGCCGTCGGCGCGCACGTTACGACGACGATTGCTGCGCATGAAGAGGAAGCACGAGAATGTGCTACAGAGTTACTATTCGTCAGGGACGTCGTATTCGGAACCGATATCATCCATCGTCTACTCCCTTGCGTCCGAGCTCGGTCGTGAAGACAACGACCTGCTGTGGCTGGCCATTGTGGGTGTCTCGAGCTTGGAACTGAGTGGCCGTACCATGTCGGGAGTGGGTGTGTCGAATGCGCTGGAGTACGGCGGCTCAGCTGGCTGGGGTGGAGAGAGAGGCGAACGAATACGGCAGATTCTACGTGATGAGGTCCTGCGATTAAACCCTCCTGATCCATATGAGCGAGATCGCGACATCAGAGGCGAAATCAACGGCGTCATTCCGACTACGGCACGGTCTCCGACGGACAAGTCGATCCGGCTATCGCCTGAACCGCGTTTCATCCTCGTGCGGCATTGGTCGCTCTATGACAGTATGCTACACAGCCCGTATCTGGCATCCAGACTTCATGTGTGGACAGAGAACGGAAAGAAACGACTACACAAACTGCTGGCGAAGATGGGCATCAGCTTGAACCAGAGCCATCAAAACTATACCCATATGGATATGGAGCTGAAGCGAGTACTACGACAACGGCTCTTGAAGTATGCGCCAATGTACGGCTTGGACGGACTTGTTCCGCCGGAGGCGTCTGGGCATGCCGTCTCTCGCGAGGGATGGGGTTTTGTGCGCTGTTGGGGCTGGAAAGCCTGCCTCTCTGCCACCGATGTGGGTGTTATCGTCGGTGCAATTCTTGAAGTCGGACCTGAAGAAGCCCCCGGAGTGTGGGATGCCAAACGCGCGTCCAAAACGGCTACAGCGACCAATGCTGATGGGTCTACCGAGTCAGATCTGGCCAGCCTGCTGCCCCGGTTTTGGAGTGCTTACGACGCTCTGTCATTGACTTCAGAGTCGCCGACGCTCCTGCTGTCATCTCTCCCTCTTGCCCAGCACCTGCACCGGGCTATTCTTCGCACTGGTACTTCTCTACTCGCAAAGCACCAGATCCGTCATCTGCGAGCGTTCCGCATCGCCGTTGTCAAAGATGGTCCGGACGTGAAGCTCTTCACCAATCCGGGGGCATTGACCAAACTTGCCTTGTGGGTTGCTGAGGCGATTCGGGTACAAGAGAGGGAACGAGGAGACTCCGTCAAGGTAGGACGCAGACGGGCCCTGGGCACACCGCTTGTTCTTGCTGGGCTTGACGAGGACCGAGGCTTGTATGTGGTCGTGGGTACAGGAGGAGGTGGCGGAGTGGTTGACTTTGCCGCCCTCGCCAAACGGCGAGAGGAACAAAGGAAAAAGAGAGAAGCCAAGGAGAAAAAGCGCAAGGAGCGGGAGGAGCGTCGGGCGCAGCGCGCTGCCGAGCGCGCTGCCAACGGTGAAGATGACGAGGAAGAGGAGGAGACGGAGGAATCGTCGTCTGAATCTGAGTCCGAGTCGGAAGACGAACAGGACCTGCGCAGCAACAAGAACCTTCTGCGGAATAGGTTTGGAATCGCGTTCCAGGAAGTGGTGCAAGAAACCAGTGCTCGTGTACGCATTGATAGCTTTGAGCACTGCGTGGTTGAGGTGCAGAAGGAAGACTTGGGAGGCTTCCTGGAAGCGCTGAGCTTCCGCAGTGTTGTCGG